CTAATCATACTCTGAGAAATACATCTACGGGTTCAATCTGACAATAAACGTTAGCATTTATTTTATGCCCTTTTCATGAAAAGCAAACTTTAATATTCTTAGGTTTTTTCGGTAAAGTCACGGAGGTAAAACATCAAAATTAATAAAAATAAAATAAAATAAAGATTACGACGTTTCGGAGGCAACACAAGTCTCCGTCATCAGGTGGGACCGTCACAGCCAGATTAGCTGCATCAAGTGAGGCAATGATGCAAGATGTAATCCCTTAAAAGCGAGTTGAGGGGGGAGGAGAGGGGGGGGAGCTCATCAGAATGTGGTAGCCAATGAATGGAACGTATCGGGAGCGAGGGGGGCGGGGCCAAAAGGGTGGGCGACGGCGTGGAAGCGATTGTGCGCAAGAGACAAACTGCTGCACACGCCAACGCATTGGACAGAGAGGGGGGAGGGGGAGGCCTGATACACATGATACAAAAGAACGGAAATGCCATTGTTTATACCAATGCTGGCTGAACAATGAAGAGGTTACTGTTAAACACTCGGTAAAGTAAAGTAAAATAGTGCCTGTCAGATAAGATGGTCCAAAAAAGTGTAATTAAGTCTTTTTTGCGTGGTTAATAACATCTTTCCAATGATTACTAAGTTTGTACCCATCATCACGGTTGAAATTATGTCTGTGTTTGTATGTTTGTATGGCTTCGTGTACAAACCTTTGATGGTAGCCAGGAGGTTTGCAGAGAACCTTGGTCTCGGAAAAGACAATTTCATGAGAGCCCACCGAGTTGTAGCAATGATCGGCAACGGCCGAAGAATCAGTTCTGCCGTGTTTCAGATCTGACTTGTGCTCGCGGACACGATCAGCAACATGACGTTTCGTTTCTCCAATGTAGCAATCACCACAAATGCAACTCAATTTGTAGACTCCAGGATACTGTAAGTCAGGAACGACATCCTTCACAGATGGAATCAGATCACGGATTTTATGCACTGTACTGAATCGGACTTGGATCTTATGTTTGTTTAGAATTTTGGAGATCTTTTTGGTCACGCCTGCTATGTATGGTAACGTGATAGTTTTGGTCGGAGTTTCATGTGGCTGTTTCTGTGTGGTGGGAGAGACAGCTTGGCGGATAGTACGGTCAGAGTATCCGTTCATCCTGAGGGCCCGATGTACATGTCTTAATTCACCGGTCAGGTGGTGTTGGTCAGAAATGCCATGGGCTCTGTGGTATAGCGTTTTGATGAGAGAATTTTTTTGAGATGGGTGGTGGTGGGAATCCGGTTTCAAGTAGGAATCTGTGTGGGTGGCTTTCCTGTAAACAGAATGTCCCAAGGATCCGTCAGGTCTCCTCTCAAACAGAATATACAAGAATGGTAGTTTACCGTCTTTCTCCACTTCCATGGTGAATCTTATGGATGGGTGTCTAGAATTGATGTGGTCCAAGAAGTGGTTCAGTGCTGGGAGGCCATGTGGCCAGATGACGAAAGTGTCATCCACATACCTCTTCCAAAAGGAAGGACGCAGGGTGGATGTCTGGATGGCGTCTGATTCAACGTTTTCCATGAACATGTTGGCTATAACTGGTGACAAGGGGGAGCCCATAGGGGTACCCTCATTCTGTTTGTAGAAGGTGCCATTCCAGGTAAAATAGGTGTTGGTGAGGCAATGCCTAACCAGCGCAGGTACATCAGAATTCAATCCATGTTGGACTAAGTCACAGAGCCCATGGCATTTCTGACCAACACCACCTGACCGGTGAATTAAGACATGTACATCGGGCCCTCAGGATGAACGGATACTCTGACCGTACTATCCGCCAAGCTGTCTCTCCCACCACACAGAAACAGCCACATGAAACTCCGACCAAAACTATCACGTTACCATACATAGCAGGCGTGACCAAAAAGATCTCCAAAATTCTAAACAAACATAAGATCCAAGTCCGATTCAGTACAGTGCATAAAATCCGTGATCTGATTCCATCTGTGAAGGATGTCGTTCCTGACTTACAGTATCCTGGAGTCTACAAATTGAGTTGCATTTGTGGTGATTGCTACATTGGAGAAACGAAACGTCATGTTGCTGATCGTGTCCGCGAGCACAAGTCAGATCTGAAACACGGCAGAACTGATTCTTCGGCCGTTGCCGATCATTGCTACAACTCGGTGGGCTCTCATGAAATTGTCTTTTCCGAGACCAAGGTTCTCTGCAAACCTCCTGGCTACCATCAAAGGTTTGTACACGAAGCCATACAAACATACAAACACAGACATAATTTCAACCGTGATGATGGGTACAAACTTAGTAATCATTGGAAAGATGTTATTAACCACGCAAAAAAGACTTAATTACACTTTTTTGGACCATCTTATCTGACAGGCACTATTTTACTTTACTTTACCGAGTGTTTAACAGTAATCTCTTCATTGTTCAGCCAGCATTGGTATAAACAATGGCATTTCCGTTCTTTTGTATCATGTGTATCAGGCCTCCCCCTCCCCCCTCTCTGTCCAATGCGTTGGCGTGTGCAGCAGTTTGCCTCTTGCGCACAATCGCTTCCACGCCGTCGCCCACCCTTTTGGCCCCGCCCCCCTCCCTCCCGATACGTTCCATTCATTGGCTACCACATTCTGATGAGCTCCCCCCCCCCTCTCCTCCCCCCTCAACTCGCTTTTAAGGGATTACATCTTGAATCATTGCCTCACTTGATGTAGCTAATCTGGCTGTGACGGTCCCACCTGATGACGGAGACTTGTGTTGCCTCCGAAACGTCGTGATCTTTATTTTATTTTATTTTTATTAATTTTGATGTTTTACCTACGTGACTTTACCAAAAAAACCTAAGAATATGAATCCTTGCAGTCACGAAAGCTTCAAATCTAGAATCAAACTTTAATACACAAGTGGATAAAATTACAATACAATAAAGAAAACGTCTAAAAAAAAGCAATTATATGTGTAGGGGTTATTACGGGAGAAACGGCGGACAAGAAACACAGGGGTGTCGGTACCCGCACACACGGGTGGCCACACCGACGTCTGCACCCATTAACCACTGGGATCCCCCATAACCCCGCCCCTCCGAGGGGATCGCTGTAAAAGGCGGGGAGCCAGAGAGCTCGGGGCCAGTTCGACACGAAGCTGACCAGTGAAGACTGAAGAGTCGGAGATTAGGCCCTGGGACTCCCCGGTCTCGCTGCCGTTGTCAGGGCCGAGTTGGGAAAGCCAGCGGCGCGGCCCAAGAGCTGCCGGACCTCTGCCCTTGTAAGGGCAGGGCCGGCTTCGCTGGTGCCGAGATCTGTGCTTACCAGGGCCAGATCAAGATAGCCTCCCGTAGTCCAGTAGAGGAGGACTGGGGAGCAGGACAGAGGGCGTAGTACTAGGGTGGTTTCCCAGATGGTACGGGTGAAGGGGCCGTTACCCCTTCAACTATTGTGTCTGTCCCTGGTTTAATAAAAAGAGTGTGCCTCAACTCCGGCGTCCGCCTCCCTACTACTCACTACATAAGTATAACTTATGCTAGGGTAAGGAATACAATTATCACCTATTGAAAGTGTTTCCTTTCAGAGTAAACAAAATACATATATTCAAATATTTTACAGTTCAGATATAGCAGCAGTCGAGTAGCAGCTCTGAAGGTTAAACTCTGATCACACTAAAACAAAGCATTATGCAAGAATAGAACAAAGCACAATATGCATGTTCCAGGTAACAAACGTGATTGTATTAATTTAATAATTCTCTGTATTTTGATAAATGGTATTTCTATGACTACCAATGCTAATAATTTCAAGACTGGTATTTATAATCACTGCTCTAAGAGTATCTGCATACTTACTCTTTGGTTCTTTCGGTAAAGTCACGTAGGTAGAAATAAAACAAATCACGACGTTTCCATCGCAACACAAGCAATCTTCATCAAGTGGAATAACCACAGCAAGAGAGTTGCCGTGGCAAGAGGTTATATAGGTAAGAAAGGGGGGAGGCAAGGGTGGAGAGAGGGGGGGGAAGGGCGGGGGGGGCTGCGTGAGCACTAGGGGAAGAGGACGTGAGGCGGGGGGGGAATTGGGCAGGGCTAGAAGTGGGAAGCTGAGTGTGGGACACGGGGGGGGGGAAATAAAAATCTACTAGTAAACGGCAGGTAGGATGGAAACAACCACAACCAGTTAAGGCATTACCTGGTTAATAACATCCTTCCAAAGATTGTTAAATTTGTCTCCATCTTCTCGGTTGACGTTATGTCTATGTTTGTATATCTGGATGGCTTCATGAACAAATCTTTGATAGTTGCCCGAAGATTTGAAGAGTACCTTGGTCTCGGAAAAAAGCAATATCATGCAAGCCCACAGCGTTATAACAATGGTCAGCTACGGCAGAGATATTGGTACTGCCGTGTTTCAGATCTGCCTTGTGTTTGCGAACACGGTCCGAGACATATCGTTTCGCTTCCCCAATGTAACTGCTACCACAGGTACAACCCAGTTTGTAGACTCCAGGGTTTTGCATGTGAGGAATGACCTCCTTCACAGATGGGATTAGATCACGGATTTTGTGTACTGTATTGAATCGGACCTGGATCTTATGTTTGTTTAAGATTTTGGAAATATTTTTGGTAACACCTGTTATATATGATAAAGTCATGGTTTTGATTCGCTTCTCAGGAGAGTGTTTCTCCATGGTTGGAGAAACAGCTTTGTGAATAATACGGTCCGAGTACCCATTCATCTTGAGGGCTTGGTGTACGTGTTCAGTTCACTGGCTAGGTGGTGTTGGTCGGAGATGCAGTGGGCCCTATGGTGTAGTGTTTTGATGAGAGAATTCTTCTGGGCCGGATGGTGGTGGGAATCAGGTTTTAGATAGGAATCTGTGTGGGTGGCTTTCTTGTAGACAAAATGTCCCAACGAGCCGTCAGGCCTCTTAAACAAAACATCCAGGAATGGTAGCTTACCATCCTTCTCCATATTTATTGATTATATCTTAGTGTGTTATGTTAGGTCTCCAAATTAATATCTCAACGCAGGATACAGTTCTTATAAATAAGATTGTTATGCATGAACTTAGGAAATAAACACTCAAACACTTCTGTGTTAAGCAATTTTAATTCTAAACAAAAACATGTCACTCTAATATGCGAACTCTCATGCTTGGAATTATTAACACAGTACTCCTGGAGATGTTCTCCTTATTGATCCATGCATTTAACCCGCAGTGATTATGTTGTCAAACTGGGTAATCAGAACAATAAATTAATTCCACAGAGTAACACGAGCGTATCCGGCCACAGGTAGAGTATTTAAAACAGGCATGCAATGATAGTCATACGAAAGGCAATACAAGCAAATTATTATACCCCAAAGGCAAAAGTATACGTCAATAGATTCATCGGCAAGATTATATATTTAACGAAATGTCTTGGAACAATGGTGTGCGACGGTGGGCGTGCCCTCTTACGGAAGATTCATATATCTGGCTAAGCTTTAATTAATTCGTGGACAAGGTTTTATGGCAAAGAAACAGGTTTAACACAATATTCTATCTCTGTGAGAGTGTAGATTCGTGACGAAGGTTTCGAAAGTTTAGTTTACATCGATGAATATATTGGTAATTTATGCGATTAAAAAAAACGAAAAATAAAAATAAACTACTAAGGCACTTATAAACGACGTATTCTTATCAATCGATGAGCCGCAATGCCTTCACGGCCAGCTGATGATCCATGCACTTTCATAATTAGTCTTCTTATGATTGGCTAGGGTTGATTCCATTGTGTGGGGGCGTTTGATTGTCCCCTTGATAAATTCATGTGGGAGCAGACGCCGGGCGCGTCGTGGGTTTGTGAGTGTGGGGGAGGGCGTATGATACGAACGGCTTCGGAGAAGTTCCCTCTCGCTCGGGCGTGGCTGCAGTGAGCCGCCTGCTTTCTCTCTCTGGTCGAAGTTGGGCGCTTTCGCTATTTCATGAGTGTTAACTGGAATCTTCGCCAGTCTCACTCGCACTGCAGCGGCTCGGTGTCGCGATACTTCTGTTGGTGCAGAACTCCTGCTTGGTTTAGCATATCGCTACCCAGCGAGCCTCTCCATACTTGATGAGTTGCGGAGTCTTCTTCTGCGTCGGTGGTGATGATCTCCTGCGTCGGTGGTGATGATGCTTTCGATGTATGGCGCTTTTGCTGGTGCTCCCTCTCAAAAGTTGTGAATTGTATTCGCACACCTCTAAACAACTGTGAAGGCTTAGTACAATACCACTTGTCGCAATCCTTGACTTTGCGAGCGACTTAACACATCAGGGTAAATGTAGCATAAAAACTTTCAGCGATACTCTTGTCGGCTCGTGCCGAATCCAGCTCTCAAAACGCGCATCGTCACTTCTCTCTGCGAGACATGGTTGGGGTCGGTGCTTGCTCCCTCGTGCTCTTTCGCAAGACTGGAGCAAGAATGACAATTTTTGAGTTGTGTTCGTACTTAGAATTGTATAATCCCTCCCCTCTCTGTCTCTGTTCACAAAAGCCCAACTTTACTTTGATATCGCTTTCTGTGGGGAGGGGGAGTGGTATATGTGTCCGTGTGTGCGTGTGTTTTATTGAGACATCTGTTAAATCTCCTTCCCCGAGCCATCTTTTCATCCGTGGAACACATGCCCAACCTGCAATAAAACTCTTTGTGAGAGCCACTTCCTCTTGCTCTCCTTTGTACGGGGGGGATCCTTTCATTAAATCCTTTATATTAAGTTCGCGTGCTTGCTTGCTTGCTTAGGACCGTGCAAATCTTTCGGTCGTTTTTTAACCCACTTCCCGTGATCCAATCGAGCTGACATTTTCCACACAGACTCGTTGTGCCAGACAATTATTGTTCGTGAAAAAAAATTCCCAAAATTTTACACTTTTTAGGCAAAAAAAAATTATTTTACATATATTCAAATAGAACGCATTCATAGTTTTGGCTGAACATCACAGTGCAAGAGCCCAGAGCGTAACCCCTCCACAGGCCGTGGAGTAGCGCAGTTAGTAGCGCCCTCGCTTCCCATGCCAAAGGTCGCGGGATCGATCCCCGCGTCCTCCACAGGCGAATATATTTTTAAATCCTTTATATTAAGTTCGCTTGCTTGCTTAGGACCGTGCAAATCTTTCGCTCGTTTTTTAACCCACTTCCCGTGATCCAATCGAGCTGACATTTTCCACACAGACTCGTTGTGTGTGACAATTAATTTTCGTGAAATTTTTTTTCCAAAATTTTACACTGTTTAGGGAAAACTAATTAAATATTTAATTACCAATTGCTTAATACTGGCAGACAATCATCTGACCCATAGATTGCAGCCATCTCAAGCCAGAGGACGAGAGAACTCTAGCCGCCACGCATATAAAGGATTTAGAGTGAAAAACCTTGTTTTTACGGGTTTACTTGTTATATTTTAAGGTTAATCTCCGGCTTTCTGTTGCGAGCGTCCGTTTGTGCTCCCAGCGACCCCGCAAGTGAGTATATGAAAAAAAATATTTGGCAGAATTATTATTAATATGAATTTTGGAAAAAGGGTCCTAAATCCAACAACAGAGAGTCGGCTAACACACAATTAAGGCATAGCCTGGTTGATTACGATCTCCAAAGATTGCAAATATTTGAAGTTAAGTCTGAAATTTGACAAACATAGACACACGGAGAGAGAAAAAACAAACTTACATCCTCCCCGGAAAGGTGGTTCCATCCTCCCCCCTCTCTCTCTATTTAAGAGGCATTGGATCTCTGTGTCTATGTTGTGTGTTTATCTCTGTGTTGTCTCTATCTGCTTGTGTGTCTGTGTGTCTCCGTGTCTGTGTTTTGTCTCTCTCAAATGTATTTCTACCTGATAACGGTTGCTTGTGTTGCAATCGAAACGTCGTATTCTATTATTTAATTTACTTTCTTCCTACGTGACTTTACCGACAGAACCAGAGTAATTCCTGCAGTCACGAAAGCTTCAAATCTAGTATCTGCATATATGCAGTTACAAGACCTATGTCAAAAATGTGTCAAATATGAATATAACCAGAAGGCATTTAGCTGTATGTGTTATCTCATAACTATTTGCTGAATATTTAAATCAGAAACTGACCTTATTTGCCACAATACAAGTGTACACACTTTATATATTAAATGTATTGTAACATATTTCACGATGTATTGCAAAATGTGTTATATCGAATGTGTCCTTTGTTGTGCTACACGTAAGATTGGTTGATGATGAAATATTTGCGAGAATTTCTGAGTGTGACCTGTTGATGTTCAGAGATGCTGGCAGTTGAAGAAAATGGTTGCAGGTTATATCTACAAATTGGGAGGCCAATAAATGGAAGACAATCCTTCAGCTGCTTCTTGTGGGCCAAGGATGGGAGGTGTGCTAAACAAATACAAATACAAGGTATTAATTTTCCTCACAAAACATAGCTAAAAAATGCATCATATGCCAACATGTTATTAATTTTAACGTGTAATTTAAGGTATGATATTAAGCAATACATTGTATATCTGTATTAACTAATAGGGAACCTGGAGCAAACCATGCAGAATAAGGGGAGAACATACAAACTCCACATAGAAAGGCACCTACGTTAAGAATCAAACTCAGGTAGTCTTACTGTGAGGCAGAAGTGTCACCACTGTGGCATCTTGCCGCCCAATTCTAGATGTTTATCTCATCCAACCTACAGTCTCCTTACTGTGTGAGATGGACAACTCGTCCATCAGTCTCCTGCAAGTGGTGGCTAAAAGAGCTGGGGTGTAGAGTGGTAGGACCCACTATACAGGCAGACCTCGCTTAACGCTCAAGATGCATTCCTGAAGAAGTGAGCCTAAATAAAATCAGCGCTAAGAGGCCAATCTACCAGTGTATATATTCGTATAAGCAATTAATGGGGACTTCATTGGAATATCGATAACAGCGCTAATAATAATAATACAAAAAAAGATGTATTATTACACCAGTATTATGTACACTACTCACGACTGCATACTGTACTTCTGTATAACGGTGAGGGACCAGGTTGGTGGAGCTGCTGCTGTGGTCCCAGTCCGGGTCATTCTCAGAGAAGAGCTCCAGGACCTCCGTGATCTTAGTGATGCCCTCCGCGATCTTAGTGATGCCATCGGTCTACATTTGTGGCAAGGTTTCTTTGAGGTGGGGCCTGAAACTCTATCCTGGTGTCGTGAGTTCTTACCTGGCTAAACAAATGTATTTTTTTAATGTAATCTTGACCACGAATAGTAATAATTTAATTGCGGGGAGTGGTGAGATATGGTTGGCTGAGAACCATGCGTCGTTTTCATTGGCTGAGCAAATGATGGGGGCGGGTAATTTCCTCGGCCAGCACTGCTGCATGTTCTCCCTCGTCAGAGTTTTGTAGAATATTTTTATTTTCATTTAAAAAAATTCCGCACAAAGATCACTATAACGAATCAAGCATTCTACGGGGTCTGTATGCAGAGAAGCCTGCAGTAGGCCAAGGCCACTGACAACAGGGCAGTTCTGGGTGATCGCAGCACCCTTTACCACAGGCAGATAAAAAAAAATAACTAAATTACATTTCATAACATTTTGCGGCATTAGGATTGTTGCTATATCAGTTTCTCTAAATTTCCTAAATGTATTTTATAATTTATCATGTTTCTGTGCTTTGATATACTAAGGCCATTCTAGTTTGGAGATTATAGGGCAAAGAGTGGCTAAAGTCCGTGTTGGGAACTTTGAGTTAATGGGGCTGGTGTTAGTTTCCAGGACATTATCTGTACCCTGTCTTTTGGGCATCGATTTCCTCGGGAACATGCCCCTTAAGATCCTTGTCAATCAAAGCTGTGTTGAATTGCCGTCGGGACAGCGGTTGGCCTTTTTGAAGTCTCCGACTAGGTTAGCAAGGGCTAACACTACAGTTCAGGCCCTGGCGAGGGAAACTGTTATGATTCCGCCAGGTGCACAGATGTTGGTGCACTTGCGGTTGCGGAAGCAACTGGATTTGACAGATCCTGTTGAAGGGGTCCTTTTAACTCCCTTAAATACAGTGACTCGGGGGCTTGCATTGGTGGGTGCTCAGACCATAGCGAGGGTGGACCAGGAGCCCTTTTTGCAAGTGCTACATGTCGGGCTGGGGGCCGCGGTGGTTCAAGCTGGCACAGTTTTAGCCCATGCAACGGCCACGTGCTGTGAGGAGGTCTGGACAGAGGCTGCAGACGTCGTTGCCATGGTGGAACGGGGAGGCGAGTTGGACGGGGCTTGGATGGACGTGTTGTGCGGGGAAAATTCCGATTTGTCCAGGGAACAGCGGGGCGAGCTGTGTGCCCTGCTTCGGGAATTTACCGATATTTTTAGCCAGGGGAAATTTGATATTGGCCGCATTTCACTATTGCAACATCACATCAATATGGATAACGCAGCACTGATAAGGCAAAATTCGTATAGGGTCAGTCCCAGGGAGAAGGACCATGTTCGCCAGGCAGTTGATGGATGTTAGCTGCGAACATTATTTTCCCTACTCTATGCAGCCCATGGGCCCCCCCCCCCCCCCATTGTTATGGTAAAAAAAACAGGATGGGAGTCTGCGCTTTTGTGTTGACTTCTTCAAATTTAATACAATTTCGGTGGTGGACGCATATCCACTCCCTGGGATGGATGACTCCTTGGACGCCTTGTCGGGTGCGCGTTTTTCTCGACACTTGACTTGTTGTCAAGGTTTTGGCAGCTGCCCTTGGATGAGGAATCCAGGCCAAAAACCGTCTTCCGAACACCACAAGGGCTGTTCCAATTTAATTCCCTCAAAATGGGGCTTCATTCCACTCCTGGAACGTTCCAGCGGCTTATGGAATTTGTCTTGGCAGGTTTTCAGTGGGATTTGTGCCTCATTTACCTGGACGATGTCATTGTGTTCGGGCGCACATTTCAGCAACATCTGCAGCAACTGCATTCAGTGTTTGTCAAGGTGCGGACGGCCAATCTCAAATTTAAACTGCAAAAGCGCCATCTCTTGCAAACGTCTGTGGCTATTTGGGCCACATTGTCAGCGAGTCCGGGATAGCCACAGATACCTAAAAAACTGTGTGCGTGCGCACATGGCCAACCCCCATGTCGGTCGGTGAAGTTCGCAGTTTTGTCGGGTTCGCGTCGTATTATTGCCGGTTTGTTCCCAAGTTCACCATGATCGCTAAACCGCTCCACGTGCTCACTGCCAAGGGCCAGAGATTTCGGTGGGGGGAGAGGAGGAGGCCGCGTTTGTCGCGCTGCACGATGGCCTCATCAACGCTCCTCCCCTTGGCTACCCAGATTTCTCTCTGCCCTTTGTGTTAGACACGAACGCCAACTGCACCGGAAATGGTGCTGTACTGTCCCAGGTCGTGAACGGCACAGAGAAAGTGGTGGCCTACGGGAGCCATGTGTTGTCCCCTGCAGAGCAGCGCTACTGCGTGACGCACATAACTGCTAGCCATAGTTCACTTTGTACAGCAATATAGGCTGAATCTTTACGGGTGGGACTTTATCATACGTATGGACCACACCAATATTCCCTTTGGATTGACAGCCTTCCGGCCAACTGTCCCGCTGGCTAGAAATTTAACAGGACTACTCCTTCACGGTCACCTACAGGAAGGGTGTACGGCGCTGCAATCCAGATGCACTGTCCCTTTTACCACCGAATGCCCAGTGTGCGTGCTTAATGGGTGCCGGTCGATGTAAGCCATCAGCTGCAGGATCGCCACACATGGTAGTGGCAGCTGTCAATGCACCACCACCCGCGGCAGGGGCACATAGTGATAGCACATTGGGTCTTACGCACGTGGAATGGGGACGCCTCCAGATGGAGGATGTCTCCTTTTTGAAGTTGCGGCATCGCGTTGGCACAAGAGGTAGTAAAAACGTGCCAGCAGGAGTGTCCCTTATAGTCCTCCTTGAAGGACTCTTGATGAGATGGGATGAAGAGCTGCAGCGTTATTGCATGGTGGTGCCAAATGCTCTGCAGGATAAACTCACACGGGCGGTCTACGAGAAATGAATGCACCTCAGAGTCCATAAAACCTTGCTAACACTGAAGCGTGACTTCTATTTGCCCAGGATGACAGACGATGTATACCACATGGTAAAAGGTTGTACTGACTGTGCACGCCGCAAGCCACCACTGAGGCAGGCCCAGCCTCCGTTACAATCTATCACAGTGTCTCGTATCAACGAGCTAGTTGCTCTGGACATTCTTGAGCCGTTCCCCACCACTCAGAGGGAAAATAAATTCCTCCTGTTCGTGGTGGAATACCTGTCCCGGTGGCTCGTGGCATGGCCTCTGCCAGACCATCCATTGCATATGCGTTTTTGCACGGGTATGTTCTGGACAAGGGGGCTCCGGAACAGCTTCTTACGGACCAAGGACACATTTTTCATTGTAAATTGTTACGGAAGGTGTGCGACTCCCTGCGAACAAAAAAAATCAGGACCTCGCCCTACCATCCTCAGATAGACGGGATGGTAGAGCACTTGCACAGGACCCTTATGTTCATGTTGTCAACAATTTAACGAGGCGCAGTCGGACTGGAACTTCCCGGTGTCCTGGCCGCATATAGGATGGCCCCTCACGCCTCAACAGGATTCTCCCCATTTTACCTCATGTATGGAAGGGAGACTGATCCCCCCATGGAAGCTCAACTGGGCATGAATTTGGGTAAGAAGAGAGCCGTCATGCCCGTGCCCATGCAGTTCACGCTTAGGCTTTTGACGGAGGCGCAGGAGGCGTCTCAGCTCATGGACAACGGGGGACAAGGCGTGGCTGCATTGTCCCCAGATGCCCTTGGGTATGTCCCCTGTTGAGGTGATTGAGGTCAAGAGACTACAGTGCATGCATATACAGATCAGTCGCCGTCGTTGGTTTGTGCACTTGTCACGGTTAGAACCCGATGTTTCACCCTATGTTGACGATTCATCCCCACCTCCTGAGCGGTGGGTGTCTGATGTGTCCGACGAGCCGGGGCGAATGAGCCCGGCAGTTGCGCTTCAGGAGGATTGCGTTGTACCCGCCCGCAGGACCCCAGCACTTGAAGTCTGGAGATCCCCCGACGTCGCTTCGGTGTGATGGACGTGTGGAGGCCTGGTCGCCATCTTCTTCTCCCAGGGAGGGGCCATGCCCTTTAGGGCATTTGTGTGATGTCCCGGTGGTCCCCAGCATGCAAGTTCCTGCTCGAGATGGGGGACCAGCGTCGAGGACTCGCTCCAAGAGGGCTTTGTTTCGCTGAACTGCTCCCTTCCTGTCGTTCAATTGTGTTCCATCGTCTGGCGGGTGGCTGCAGCCGCTTCCCTCGCGGTTTCGGGGTTAATAGTTAAAGGGGTTTTTTTCTGACATTCGTTAACCCTCCCTGTTAGGTAAATTGCGTTAGCGCATTCTTGTAAGTTTTCCTCCTCTCCGTATGTGATTGTCAGTCGAGACGACTGTTTTTGTCCACGAGGGGGAGGGGTGATGTAGTGGTATAGCGCTGGCTGCTGGTGAAAAAGGGGATCTGTGGCGTACGGCAGTCCTGATGTCAGCAGGCCGTGATATACACGAGAAGGGGATCTAGGGAAAAGGTCACAGAAGATGCCCACCAGGAACCCGCTAGTAGGGTCCAGAAAGGGGGCGTGGTCAGGGCGGAGCAAGGCCACCGACAATAGACGGCCTTAATACATATTGTGTTATCCCGATGGTGCTTATTAAATAAAGTGCCTCCAAGTCTTACTCTCTCCGAGTTAGTCACTACACATGTTAAAAACACCATAATAGTTTTATCCATAGTAGATATTTTAGAATAGAACACAGGTTCTCAGTTAAAATTGTTCATTATTCCAATAGAGTATTTTAGCATTTATATCCTGATTCACAGTATAGAAGCAGAATCATAAGAGTGTACGTTACAGGTTTTAATAGAACATGTGATAGCCATACCTTCAGAGTGGCATTGTCTGCTCCTGACTTGAGTCTCCCCTAAACGAACCAGAGCCTGAGAACTATGAACAAATGTAAACAAAGTATTATTTGATAAATGTCTGTCTTTAGAAGGCAAGGCACACACAAAAAAAATCATTATTGGTTGTTAATAATTTCCTGTTCAATTACATCAGCAGTTACATGTAAAATACTTTCACATTATTTTAAACCAAAATTTAAACATGTACTTTGCCACATGCGCACCATTTTTTGATGCATTGCAGTCAAATGACGTTGTGCTGGTGGTAACTAGGTTCATCAGGCGATTTGTGATAATTCTGGAAAAACCTCACTGTACTCAAATTAAATATTTTGGGTTGACTCTCCAACACACCGGTGTGCTGAACTAGTAACTAATTGGCACATTGTTTACGTGACAAACCTTGCTAATTGGCTGTGGATGGTGGCGGGTTTAACGACAAATTTATATTTACGCGATCTAACCCAACTTTATTATGGAGGTAGAACAACCTGACTGACGATGGCGTCGCAACTACCAAGGCACTGTTTGTGGTCGCGTGGGTGTTGAACACGAGATCAATCAAGGGTCATGGTTTGCCTACATGGAGCGACACAAACATGGACTCTTGGTATACAAGTAACAACACTCCAGTGCTAACACACACACATCTGAATTTCGTTGGACGTTGTTGAGAGAAGTGTTTTGGTGTATTTTATTTGACGTTAAGTGAATAGTGTACAGTACTAAAAAACTGCAATCTCCCGTGGTGTCTAATCTGTCACCAATACAAAGATAAGCTACTCTGCCTTACAACAAATTCTCCCAGTGAATTTAATTTCCCTGTATGTGACAGAAAGAACATGTTTATTTATATGTAAGTGGCTATGCAAACTATGTGCTGCACGTGACACACTTTTGTGGATTTATATTTTGATTAATGTGAAACTATACTTGTTACTTGCCATCATATGTTAAGTGGAATTTTGCAAAAATTATATTTAAATTTGTGTTGTTAGAGATGTTGGGATGCAACTGGACACTTTAATAGGCAACATATAACACTTACTAAATGTATAAAAAATGGATAATGATTTATATTTAGGGAACATACCTTTTAATTTTTGGCAGAACCAAAACAGTGTTTTTCATAATCTGTGCATAAGCCAAGCAAGGGGTCACATCTGATGCAAACAGCAGCTCTTTCTCTAGCTGGGCAGCGCAGTAGAGGTTTACTGTCTCCATTGAAACAAAGAACTCTTGCGATGTTCCCAGAACAACCGGTGTATTAGGCAGCATTGTTCCCTGACATGCGACAGGTACAGGATCGAAAACACCACCAAGCTTCAGAAGCTCAACAATACCAATATAGACACATATCATGTCGAAATAGCCTTTTTGTAATACAAGTAATTATGCATTAAAAAAAGGAAGTTGACCTGAAATAGCAATACACTGTGTTATACCATTGCATTTAATTCACATATCAGCTGTTACTGATATGCGATTTATTACATTTTAATGCTATTTATTACATTTGAATGCACTTTATGACATGTCAGGAGTTGGAGATGCCCGCAGTAGTGTATGGTGAAAGCTTGAGAGAGGAAATGCTGAAAATGTGGCATAACATGGAAAATCATACCTTAAAATGCATAATACATCGGTCTACCCATGCCATGCAGATCCTTTGTAAATCCTGTTTGGTAAAGTCATCTCTGGACCAAAGATTCCAGGATATCATCTCCTTGGCAAAGTAGGCATGTGGGTCACGTAGCCCTGCTTGATTCAGCATAGTCCACAACACCTTCCTAAAAGAACAGTGGGTAATAATCAAAAGAGAGATCATGGGGTACCCTGGACAGCAGCAGCATCTCCATAAACAGTCATTATATTGGGTTTTACATTCCAGAAATTATTTTAACAAAGTATTGTAATTTCAAAGACAAAATGTATCATTGTAATAAAGCACTTCGACGACGATCTGTAGTTTGTGTCTTCTTTATTATTTGTTTCTCGTCGGCTGGACAGCTCCGCGTTCTCTTCACACCGACACCGCTCCACTCTCGTTCCGCGTGTTAGTTGTTGTCACCTCCGCACACAGCTTGCCCACGCTCTCCCGCTCCCACACGCCGCTGGCAGAAGGCGCGCAAGGAGACAGCCCTGCCACGTGGCCGCTGGCGTGCCGGAGGCGCGAGATGTGGTCTCGCCTCTAGACTCCACACACTGACCCCGAGCTGCTTCCTGCTTCCCCTTATAACCCTTCACGCACGTCACCAAGCCCCGCCTATAGCCACACCCCCTCACAAACCTTCTGGATGGTTACCCACAAGAACCCTTGAGCTCCGCCCTTGAACTTGGCGGATCCATCTAATTGGCTGATAGCTGAACAAGCGGAGCCTATCCCACCGATCGGCGACCGCCGGTGAACTCTCGTTCCTAGCCGTCCCGACTAGGAACAAAGCAACGTGCAATACGAGAGCCACTGAGAATGAAGAACAACACAATAACAACAATAATAAGGCGCATAACGAACGCACTACGAAAGGGAAGTAAGAATAACAATCATAACACAATACAGCAACAACAATAAGATGCATAAGGAATGCGCAATGCAAGATAAGAACAATCATCAACGAAAGGGAACAGATCTGGAACGTGTACGCGACGCCGATCCATCCCCAGCAGCAGCATGAGGCCCCGCCGGTTCCATCGCAACAGGAGGCGGAAGAGTGGAAGGTTCAGCGTCCGTCGCGGCGGGGAAAGGCCCAGCCGGAGCGGGGTTGTTGGCAGCAGCAGGGACAATGGAGCCAGGCCCGGTCGCCCACAGCCCATGGCATGTTGTGTCACGACCGATGAGCGCATCGCTCGTTCCGGGCCTGGGTCTTGGCCATAGCAATCCTTGCTGCCTCGCGTGCTTCTGTGACACGGCGAACCGAATGGCGAACTGAATTGCGGACATGTTCCGGTAGGGTCAGCGCGGGCTCCTTAGCGGGCGCTACCAGTTGCACGCCAATCGGCGGCACGTTCTCCCAACCATACATAAGGAAGAATGGTGAGTAACCCTTAGAAGCATGCGGGGCCAGGAATGTGAAGGTCCCAATTGGCCTGCTTTTCGCTCACCATGTGACAAAGCATGGCCGACAAGGTACAGTTCAATCGTTCTACCATCCCATCCGTCTGCGGATGGTAAGGTGAAGTGCGTATCTTTTTGGTGCCCAAGGCATCACACACATCCCGCAGCAACTTGGATGAAAAATTTCGGCCCTGGTCGGTGAGCAGCCGTTCCGGAGCACCTTTGTCCATCACATAACCGTTCAGGAATGCGTCGATAATGGACGATGCCTATTGGTCAGGCAAGGGCCAAGCCATCGGCCAACGTGAAAAATATTCCACCCCCACCAACAGGAATTTGTTACCCCTGGCGGAAGGAGGAAACGGCCCGAAGATATCGAGAGCCACAAGTTCATTAATTCGGGTCACCTTAATCGATTTTAAGGGTGGAATATATTTGTTGCATAGAGGTTTCCGCCGAGCGCATTCCGGGCACCTGAATAGCTTTGGCAACATCGGCCGTCATGTCGGGCCAAAAATAATCCTTTTGCATCATGAGCAAGGTTTTCTGCACGCCAAGATGCAGCAATTTTTCGGCAGCAATACACGCGTCGAAAGCCGGCCGCACACGCGAAGCAGGAATAGACAGGAGGTGGAAGATGACGTCAGAAATAATAGTCGCCGACGCCCCAGTATCCACCAAAATCCGAACTTCCACCCCCTGTATAGTGCACGGCACCATGGAGACCCCGCCGAAGCCGCGACGACATGGCGCGCCAATTTCCTACATTGAGTAATTGTACGCAGCGAAGCCCCGGCGGTGTCACGCAGTCGCAACCCGACGGAACATTACGCACGTCGGAAGATGCATGAGGTGTCAATATATGCCGGGTGTCTGACGCGTGCCAACTTGCCTGGTCGGGGTTACGGTCTGTCCATGGAGGCGACGCCGAAGATGGGGTCACGGAAGGTGGTGGTGGACGGAGACGACTCCGACAGTCGCGCGCAAAGTGGCCCATCTGGCTACACTTGAAGCACGTCGTCCCAGCCTGCCGGGCGAGCCCCATCGCCATCCCCGCGCGGCATCGAGGCTCCGTCCCGATGCACCACGGCCGCCGTCGCGGCACCCAGCGAAACGCGGCAGAGGCCAAGTCTTCATCTCCCGCGTTGTACGGAATGTGGACAACGCGAAATGGCGCCCATCCAATCGGCTCACCATCCTTGGCAGGGTCTCCCGTCCAGGCGGCCATCTGCGCCCAACGGCACAAGTTGTCCTTAGCATCGAGGCACCTGGGGCCCACCTGGACGTCAGCGGCTCGTGGCTCCACACCGGCAGCGAGATACCCATTTCCCTGGATAACTCCAGCATCCTCGCTAGAATGAGAGGGTCAAGTATGTCGGGCGTGGAGTTGGGGTAGGCGGCCATTGCGAGCGCCAACAGTGTGCAGCGATAGGCAAGGGGAGACTCGTTGGCTCCGCGGCAACGATGCATGAACTTCCTCTGGGCGTCAGACGGCAGTTCGTAAACTTACGCCATCTCGGCGAACGCATCTTTCAACGTCTTCTTCTTTTCCGAGGGGATGGAACGGAACACCGCTAACGATACATCGTCAAGTAGTGTAGACAAGGCGTCCAACGCCTCCTCCTCGGTCCACCACACCGAACGAAAAGCGGATTTGAACCGGCAAGTAAAAGCACTCCAGTCGCCGCCCGCAACAAATTCTTTAATGTTGGGAAGGCGATGGCTGCGCCCCGCGCCGTTATCCTTGGCCGATGCTGCCTCCGTCAGCCGCGCGCCACGTGGATCCGCCTAAATGTTGGGCTCAGACCGTGCACCCGCACAGCTGCACCCAAGATGGCGGCTTCGCGCCACGTGGCGGCTGTCACGGCCGTAATGGCGGACGGCCCTTCCGAGACCGCCAAAGGAAGCCCTGCTCGTCTCTACTCGGCAGAGTGTCCTGCGGCCGACCCGGTGCCGCGGACGAAGCGACCAGCGTCACGAGGTTGAGCAGAACCGTGCAGAGAGAATTGATCTGCTCCGCCACCCGCCGCCAGCCATAATCCCTGGCCAGAGGCGAAGACGGCTCCGCTCCGACATCCTTGCCCGGTGCCTTGGCCGAGGCAGCAGCGGTTGCAGTGACCGGGTCCGCAGCACCCGGGGTCGGTAAGTCTTGGTTGAGCGAGTCGTCATCGTCGTCCGAGGACGGCGCAGGTGGGTTATTTTTCTTGAGATGCTTGGACATCGTTGCAGCGCCTGCTTCATCCAATTTCAAGAGTCACTTCTGACACGACTAGTATTAAAGCACTTCGACGACGATCTATAGTTCGTGTCTTCTTTATTATTTGTTTCTCGTCGGCTGGACAGCTCCGCATTCTCTTCACACCGACACCGCTCCACTCTCGTTCCGCACGTTAGATGTCGCTCCATGCACAGCTTGCCCACGCTCCCCTGCTCCCGCACGCCGCTAGCAGACGGCACGCACCACCACGTGGCCGCTGGCGTGCCAGAGGCGCGAGATGTAGTGTCGCCTCTAGACTCTGCACACTGATTATACTTTCAATTATACTTTCACGTGTTTGCTTCAAATTGAATGGATTGCTTTAAAACAATCAGTTTGTGTATTCATTGCATTTGATTAACATTACCTGCAATGAAGAACAATAAAGAATGTTGGTCACTAAGAGCAGATTTATTTTTGTAGATACTTGCATTTTGCATACCTGAAATTGTCATCAGCTTGAAGAAACTGCACCATAAACTCAGTCAAAAGTTCTTTACTCCGAAACCCAACAGTGAGTAATGTTTGTAATGTTGTCTGGATGAATGCACGTTGCTCATCCACCTATTGATATAAAATATCACAACAATAAAGTGAAATCAGCCACACAATCCTCACAAGTTGTTATATTAGCATTCATGACATCACTTTGTATTTTAGACATGCCAATAAGGATGAAATATTGTATTTATATGAAATGTGACTCGTATATTTGTGGAGGTGAAAGTAAAATTAATGAACATTATTTCTATCAAAACGGTAAAAAGAAAAGTTGTATCTCTGAATCTTCTTGCTATTGTGATTCAGTGTGTTGTACACCCTCCTCGACCTAACATAGACAATGTTGCCAGAATAGTGAAAATGTTATCCAGTCTTGAGGCCTTAAATAGGTGGTGTGATGTCATCAATGTGCACCCACAAAGGAACAGGAAGTGGAAGCATGTAATACCTAGAGTTGCAAGTGTAAGGACAGTACGGGGTGATGTCGGGACAGTACGGCTCCCCGTGGCCATGGTTACTAATTAACATAACGTTATGGTAATATAGGACCCAAGTGGTTGCTAATAATGATTGATGCAACAAGCGTTGACAGGGTCGCGTGAGGGGAAGCGGGACCTAAAGGTCGTAAATTGTAATAAGGGCAGAGACAGACAGGGCCAGGTGCGGTGAGAGAGGGTTAGGGGAATAGGGGCGTGGCTGGGTCGTGAGGGGTATAAGAGCCGGCGCGAACTGGGGCACTGGGCTGCTGTTGTGGGGGAATTATCGTCGCCGTCGTCACCTTGGAGCAGGTGGTCTTCATCATCCTGGAGTGGGCACCTTGTAGTCTTGGAAGGCTCGAGTTATGTTGTCTCAGAATAGATTTATCTAAGTTACCCAAGTGTATATAGTCACTCGTGGTTACTCATTAAGTTATCAGTGCGTCGGCATACTTTATTCATAATAAATAAACATATAACTGAACAAGACGGTGTCTCTGAGAGCTACATTACACAAGTATTGATATAAATGATGTTATTATTCTAATGTGTTACTATAAAGATATATGTTTACACGGTGAAACAGGTTATTCATAGTTATACACAATGTTTACATTCTAATGAATTATGTTAGATGTGTTAATGAGGTGCACATATTTACATGGTGATACAGGTTAGTCACATTTCATTAGTTATACTAAATGGTTAGTCATATTTTTATGTTGTGTTAGCTTCAATTATTGTAAATACACTGTTCTCATGAGGTTATTTAATAACTTAATCATGCGTTTCCAAGCCTGCTAAAGCCGTCTGCTCAGTTTAAATAATTTAGAGTTCTCTCAATTTCAATACATTTTCTAGTCTTGGCCAATATTAATTAGTTTTGCATAGAAAAGCTATATTATCAATATTGATCAAATGTCCTTGTTGACAGGCGAGTACCGCAACTGCCGACAATTGTGTTTGTGAGTATTTGATGTTCCCATGGTATTCTTTTAGTGTGTATCTTCCGTCTGCATGGCCAAGATACCATTTGCGACAAGTACTTTTCCTACAAGTACCATTTGCTAAAAATCCATAAATTATCTCTTGCGTTAGTTTTGGTAAAGTTCATCCTTGGTCCCACAGTTGTATTTTCAGTACTGTACCAAATCTCAGAGTTTTAGTTTTCCCAAAAATCTAGCAAAGTTCAGACGACAACCAGATTTGGCCTGATTAAGCTAGTTTTAATTACTGGCAAAACATCATACTCAGATTGTAAATGTTGTGGCTTGGCTCTCCAACACACGGTGTGCTGTACTAGTGACGAATTGGCATGTTCTGTTTACGTGACAACCCTTACTAGTTGGCGGTGGGTTTTAACGACACATTTATATATTTACACGATTTAACAAAAAAAAACTTATGGTTGATATTGGTCGCGAAATCCTATGTGTTAAACTGATCTATGAAGGTGTTGTCGGCCAATTAATGATGAGTGTTTACATGGGCACTCAGAGAAAACCCACACGCGTGAGGGGGAAACGATCCCATACGGATGAAACCGGTGGAGTCTACATTTGTAGTAGGTTCAATGAGACGTGGACGACGTAGTCAGAGGCACACTTATTTATTATAACGTTTCACTCAGCACAGGCCAATGTATACACACTCGAAGGGGTAACGGCCCCTTCACCCGTCTAACAGGGAGACCCCACTGTCTCTAACCTGGCTAGCCTACTCGCAGGTCCTCCACTCGAGAGCTAGGGGAGGCTAGCTGATCCAGCTCTGGCCAAGCTAGGATCACGGCACCCTTAGTCACCAGGCCGGCTCTTACAAGAGCATCGGCTCTGGGCTCTCGGGGCCACGCCACTGGCTTGCCCTGGTCGGTCCTTAGAAGGACAGTGATCCAGGGGAGTCCCAGAGCCTATCTAGCCGGTCTTCACTCTTCACTGGTTTAAGCTAAACACTGAACTCCGAGCCCACCGGCTCACCGCCTTATATAGCAATTCCCCTCCGAGGGGTGGGGCCGTGGGGGATCAGAGCGCCGTTACAGCCCCCCAGGGCTAACCGATGCGGACGTGGATGTAAGCATCCTTCCGCGTGCGGGCATAACCACCACTGGTGTTTGTTCGCCCTCCCATAACACCCCTACACATTTTTGCTGTGCTGCCTTTTCCTGCAAAGTCAGGGTGTAGCATCTCAACGCCTATGGGAAAGAAGTTTTACGACGTTTGTGTGATCCGCCAACCCTCATCTACAGTGCTGGATTACAGGCATGCATCACCACTGCGTAGAAGTCATTCTGTATTCATACCACGAGTGTGTCGTCCACATATTTAATCAAATGAGAGGGTGTTATTGTACTTGGAAGTGATAATTTTACTACCAACGTTTCCATGTATATGATATAAGGACTCTTTCACAGTGTCGATCTCCGTTGTCCTTTATTTGGGTTCGTGTAAATCTCGCTCCCACGGCGTCCTCGCTCAGGCCCACGTCTCCTCCGTCGAGCACTCTGCAGCCAGACTGCTGCTCCGCCCTGCAGCCACCCTGCTGCTCCGCTCTGCAGCCACACTGCTGCTCTGCTCTGCAGCCACACTGCTGCTCCGCTCTGCAGCCACACTGCTGCTCCACTCCTCCTCGCTCACGGCCAGCCTTCCACAGCCCGCTAGCCCCCTGCGCCCGGACACCAAAGGCCGACGGTGCCGAGGTCTCCCAACACGTGGAGATCACGCCACCCTCCCAGTCCTGCCCAGTGTGGCCTCCTCCCGGTTCCACTCCGTCTTCTCTTCCCGATCCCTTCCGGTTCTCTCCCTAAATCCTCTCCCCCACGTGACCCTAACTCCTCCCTCTCCTCACGTGACCCAGACTCCGCCCTCCTCAATCCTTGCTCGCATTACACGACCCCCCCCCCCCCCCCCTCCCTGATGAAAAACCCAGCCGTCCCCGGCTCCAACAGAACAAAATAATGCGAGCAACTTTCAACCATCGGGCATCACCGGACAACGGAGATTATAACAAGACGATAACAAAGAACAACAAGAACAACAATCAACGAAAGGAAAGGGATTTGGAACGCGTGCGGGTCGCCGGCCCATCCCGAACGGGCGGCGGCCCCCCCACAGACCGAGAACGCGACGGGGTTTTAAGAGCGACGGGATTAGAACCGCCCACCGCTGTTGGAGGCCCGTCAATGCCATGGTCCCGTTCCCCAGAGAGACCCGAGTCCGGGGTCTCCCGCAACCGTGTCTGTGGTGGGGTTGGAGGGGCAGCGGGGTCAAGTGTCCCCATCGCCGTGGCAGGCCCACCCACAGCAGGATTCGCTGCATCCGCCTGTGTCACGGCCGGTTCGTCTGTAGAAGGCACGACAGACGCGCTTGCAGGGTCAACAGGCAAAGGCAGAGGTGCGTCGGATGCAACAGACACCGGCAAGGCAATATCAGGAGATGACGCATCCGTCAGCGGGGCCACGTAGGGTTTCAACCGAGATGTATGGACGTACCAGCGCCGCGATCCGAACCGAACACGCGTGGACTGCGGGTTAGGAACCTCAATAAGCTTAACCGGCCCCTGCCATGGTTTGTGCAGCTTAGGGGAGGTCCCCGCCCGCACCTGCGGGCAGTGCAGCCAGGCCATGTCCCCCACTCGCCAGGGGCATTTCCCATTCGAGCGCCGAGCGCAACGTTCGTTCCGGGCCTGGGTCTTGGCAGTAGCCAATTGCGCCCCCTCCCGTGCCTCGGTGACGCGTCGAACAGTGTTTTGAATGTACTCGGGGAGAGGCTTAACAGGACCCTTCGCCCCCATACCCAGCTGTACGTCCATCAGCGGCACATTCTCGCGGCCGTACATTAGAAAAAATTGAGAATACCCTGTCGACGCATGAGGCATCATCCGATACGCGGAGAGTACCCCAGGGATATGCAAATCCCAATCAGCTTGTTTCTCGTTAACCGTGTGACATAGCATGGCCGACAGCATCCGATTAAGCCGTTCCACCATGCCATCCATCTGCGGGTGGTAGGGAGACATACGAACCTTCTTGGTTCCCAGAGCAGCGCACACTTCCGCCAACAATTTAGAAGAAAAATTTCGCCCTTGATCCGTGAGCAGCCTTTCCGGCGCCCCTTTGTCCATTACATATCCAAACAGGAAGGCGTCCATGATAGACGCCGCCGACTGGTCAGGTAAGAGCCAAGCCATCGGCCAGCGGGAAAGATATTCCACCCCGACCAGCAAAAATGTATTGCCCCTAGCGGATGGCGGGAAGGGTCCCAAAATATCCAACGCCACAAACTCGTTAATCCGAGACACCTGTATAGACTGCACTGGCGGCACATATGGGTTTTTAGGCGGCTTCCGCGGGGCACACTCGGGACACGCCCGAATGTGTCCGACGACATCCGTATACATGCCGTGCCAGAAGTAGTCTCGCTGCAACGTCAACAAGGTTTTCTGCACCCCGAGATGTAATAGAGTGTCGCAGTGCAGAGTCCGAATCAATTCGTACCGTAACGACGACGGTACTACCAGACGCCAGCGATTGTGCAACCCCTCCCTCCACATCAGCAACCCATCCCGGAGAGCAGCCCCCAGCGTCCCACCAGACAGCAGTCCCCCCGTTCCCTTCGCAGCCCGACTCCGTAAGGTCCCCAGCGAGTCATCAAGCAACTGCTCGCGAATCCATACCAAGCGCGGCAGGTTCAGAACCCCATCAGCCGGTCCCGGGCATACAGGAGCCTCGGGCACCTCGACAGCTGACACAACAGGCCGAGGGGGTTGCTGAACCGGTGTACACCTATTCGTACCCGAAGCAAGCACAAGGGGACCCCTGCGGCAACCTGGAGAACGCGTCCGCGTTCGCGTGACGCGACCCCTTCCAGTACTGAATTTCGAAGGAAAATTCCTGCAGGGTTTCCAACCATCGTGCCAGTTGGCCAGATGGTTGGTCAACTCTCAGGGCATATTGCAAAACCGCATGGTCCGTGTGAACAATAAACGACCGGCTGTATAGATACGGGCGATATTGGCGGAGAAAGTGGACAATAGCCAATAGTTCACGGTGAGTAACGCAGTAGCGGGTCTCTGCCAGAGACAGCACGTGGCTACCGTAGGCAACCACGCGTTCCACGCTGCCCTTGGACTGTGACAGAATGGCCCCGATCCCAGTGTCACTAGCATGCGTATCCAGAATAAAAGGGCGATCAAAATCCGGATAGACCAATTTCGGCGCCGTCGCCAAACGATCACGTAGGCCTGAACCTCCAGCCCTTCTCCGTAAGGAGGTGCAAGGGCCTAGCGATCGTAGCAAAGTTCGGAACGAACCTGCGATAATATGAAGCGAACCCAAGGAAGCGACGTACGTCCCCCACCGAGGCCGGGGTTGGCCAGTTGCGAACGCACGCCGTCTTCTCTGGGTCCGTGGCCACCCCGTCCGCACTGACTATGTGTCCCAAATAGCGCACGGATCGTTGCAGTAGGTGACACTTTTTGGGTTTAAATTTCAAATTGGCGGAGCGCATCCTAGCAAACACCGCTTCCAATCTCTGTAGATGTTCTTCAAACGTGCGGCTGAAGACGATAACATCGTCTAAATATATCAAACATGTCTCCCACTGCAGACCCGTTAACACCAGCTCCATCAACCGCTGAAAAGTGGCGGGGGCAGCATTCAAGCCCATTGGAAGACAATTAAACTGAAATAAGCCCTGCGGCGTACGGAAAGCTGTCTTTTCCCTCGAGGACTCATCCAGGGGAAGCTGCCAGAATCCCGAGGAAAGATCAGGCGTAGAAAAAAATTTCGCCCCGGACAAGGCATCGAGGGAATCATCAATACACGGCAGGGGGTAGGCATCTGCCACGGACACTTTGTTTAATTTGCGAAAATCGACACAAAATCGCAATTTCCCATCCTTTTTCTTCACAAGGACCACCGGCGCGCCCCACGGACTGTTAGACGGGGAAATTATGTCAGCAGCCAGCATATCCTCCACTGCGCCGCGAACATGATCCCGCTCCATCGGGCTCAACCGATGCGGGTTCATCCGAATCGGAGCGGCATCCCCCGTATCAATGTGGTGGGAGAGCAAGGAGGTGCGTCCCAAATCAAAATCATCTGAGCTGAAAACGTCGGAATAGCTTAGCAAGAGCGCACGAAGCGCGGACCGTTGTTCCTCAGTCAGGGATGAGTTTTCCCCGCACAACTCGGCAACCTGCCCCGTGGGGGCCGAAACCCCCCCTACCAGGTCCCGGCGGCCCCGGTCGTCATGGGCCATGAAAGCAGTCGTGGCGTGAGCCAAAACCGTTCCGGCCGGTACGCTAACATTATCCGCACTCCCATTCAGCACTTGTAAAAACGGAGGCTGACCCGGCCGGACAATCGTCTGTGCCCCGACCAGCGCCGAGCCGCCCGTTATAGCCGTGGACGGCAATAACAAAACACCCGCCGCTCCCTCAACGCCAGGCACTGGTTTCCGATACCTCAACGGAATAAGCATCTGTGAACCAGGTGGAATATCACCAGATACCTCGGACAGTGCCTGCACCTGGCAGACAGGGGCAGAGTCGCCCCAGGGCGACGGCAAGAACGAAATTTTCAGACCCCCTGGCAATTCAATGCAATTTTGATTCACCCTTATTTGAATGGGCATTCTTGCCAGGAAATCAGTCCCCCGAAAAAACAGAGCACCGCGAGGGACCTGGAAATCAAAACGGTCCCTGAAGCCGACACCCCCCCAATCGATATGTTGGCGTCCACCTGGCCCACAATGCCCATACTTCCCCCGTTCGCCGCTATGCAAGAGTCATAAACCGGTCGCACCCTTCCCGGCGGAATACCTAAGAGATGAAAAATGACGTCTGAGATAATGGTCGCGGACGCACCTGAGTCCACCAAAATGTGCACCTCGACCCCCTGAATAGAACCAGGCACAATGGACGACCCAGTAGCGGCCGCAACAACCCTCCGTGCCAATTTCCGCCACTGCATCAGCGAGCGACACGGGTCGATCCGCGGCCCCCCGTTGTTAATGACACACCGACCGCGTGGCGATGGTGATGCATGAGGTGACAGGCCTTGCCGGGTTTCTGATGCGCACCGACTTGCCTGTCCTGGATGGTCCTTTCGCATCACGTCCATGGCAGAGGCCTCCAGCTGGGGTGGCCCCGGGATGCGAGCCCAACAATCCCTGGCAAAGTGGCCCTTACGGCCGCAGCGGAAACACTCCAAGTCCCGACGCTCCCGCGTCGGCGGCCCGGAGCGGACCCCCGCTCCCCCTCGAGCAGGCCACTGGGCGGACGCGGCCGTCAACTCCTGCGGACCCCTGTCGTCAGGAATGTAGACAGCCTTCTTGGGGTCCCACCCTGTAGCACCGCCTTCGACGATGGGGCCCCCCATCCAAGCTGACACCTGTTTCCACTGTCGAAGGTTAAATTGGGCATCCAAGCACTTAGCCGCAACACGGGACGTCAACTTATCATGGCCGCACACCGGCATGGGAATCCCCAAGTCCCTAAATAACTCCAGCATCTTGCCCAATATGAGGGGTTCCAACAAATCAGGCTCTGTTTCAGGATACGCAGCCATAGCTAGTTCCAGAACGGCGCCTCGGAATGCCACCAGCGATTCTTCCGGCGCCCGTTGCCGCTGTACGAATCTGGGATGAGCATCGTCCGGAGGCTCATAGGCGTCCGCCATTTCCTCAAAGACCCCCTGTAGCGTCCTCTTCTTTTCAGCCTTGATGGAGCGGAAGAACCTGACGGACTCGTCGTCGAGAAGTGTTGGCAAGACTTCCAGGGCCTCCATGTCCGTCCATTTGGCGGATCGTACAGCCGCTTGAAAACGGCAGGCGAACGCGCTCCAATCTCCGCCGATGGAGAACTCTTTAACAGTTGTTAGATGACGGCTGCGGGTCCTTGCTCCGCCGTCCTCCGTCGATGGTGACTCGTGCGGCAGCGACAAGATGGCGTCACTCCGCAACATGTTCAAGATGGCGGCTCCCCGCGGTGGAAGGCGTAAGATGGCGGCTTCCCACCGTTCCTCCTCGGCCACGCCCAAGATGGCGGCTTCGTGCCACATGGTGGAGAGGGCTGACGGCGTCGGCAAGGCCCCGGCCCACTGTTCCCCGCTGGGCCTCTCCGAAGTCGTCGCCGGCGTCACGAGGTCGCACAACTGCGCCAACACCGCTTTCAGTGCCTCCAGTTGGGCCGCCACCTGTCACCATCCTTCGTCGGCGTCCACTTGCGAGGATGGACCCACCGAAGTGGCAACGTCCTGCACCCCCGGACCGTCGCTCGTCCCTGCGTCGCTTCCCCCCTCCATCGTCGGTAGCGCCACCGCTGGAGGGAGGTCGTCTCCAGAAGATGTTGCAGAAGATGGTGCAGGGACGTTCTTTCTTCTGAGCTGTTTTGATATGCCGTTTCACTTGACACCAGTGTAATAAAGGACTCTTTCACAGTGTCGATCTCTGCTGTCCTTTATTTGGGTTCGTGTAAATCTCGCTGCCACGGCATCCTCGCTCAGGCCCGCGTCTCCTCCGTCGAGCACTCCGCAGCCACACTGCTGCTCCGCCCTGCAGCCACACTGCTGCTCCGCTCTGCAGCCACACTGCTGCTCCGCTCTGCAGCCAAACTACTGCTCCGCTCCTCCTCGCTCACGGCCAGCCTTCCACAGCCCGCTAGCCCCCCTGCACCCGGACACCGATGGCCGACGGTGCCGAGGTCTCCCAACACGTGGCGATCGTGCCACCCTCCCAGTCCTGCCCAGTGTGGCCTCCTCCCGGTTCCACTCCGTCTTCTCTTCCCGATCCCTTCCGGTTCTCTCCCTAAATCCTCTCCCTCACGTGACCCTAACTCCTCCCTCTCCTCACGTGACGCAGACTCACCCCCCTCAATCCTTGCTCGCATTACATATAGATAATGATCAATAATAGAAGACAGGGGATAACCAATTCCTGCTCCTTGCTTTTGCATGTAAAAATCTCCTTTCTAGAGAAAATGTGTTATTTAAGTAGAGTTGAGCCAATTGTGGATTTTTTGTTATTAATAAGAGCATTGAGCATGTTAATTGACCCACTAATTGGGACCTTGATGAACACAGGCATTTAAAAAACAGAACAAATTCTCATTTTACTCACGCGATCTGACCATTTTTTTTAATGAATTATAGTATTGGTCGCAAAAGCCTACGTGTTAACTTTCATCTATAAGTAAAACATATGTAATACACGAATATAGCATACCTTGCAGTTGGGTGGTATTTCCGCATTGAGAACAGCATACAATCTGTTACATATTTCAGTCAGAGAGCCTTGCTTTTCTTGGAAATATAGTTTCTGGATAGCATTTACCAGATCAGTCTTACTGCTATAGTCTGCAGTTACGAGCAGTTGCAACAGCAGTGCAAGAAAGCCACCTGGAGTTTGTGCCGTTGGCAAGTTCTGCATAAACACACACAACTTGTAAAGGCGGGTTTGCAATCTGTACCACTGATTAACCAGAATACATTTACATGTTTAACGTAGGATAGAACTAGGAGAGCATAGTAAGAATCGAGATTTTAAGTTTTCGTGACTGCAGGGATCCATACTCGTTGGTTCTTTCGGTAAAGTCACGTAGGTATAAAATAAAATAAAAAATCACGACGTTACGGGCGCAACACAAGCGCCCGTCATCAGGTGGGACAACACAGCAAGAAACAAATGCTGAAGTGGGCAAAAGAGGTGCTTGTATCAAGAGGTTATATAGGTGAAGTATTCGGAATGACGGCAGGAAACCACTTGACGGGTAGCACACTTTTTATTAAACCTTGACTTGTCACGATACAACGTGTGGTCACTATTCCTCACACTACACACACTTCACTTGACACGTGTGGTCGCTATTCCTCACACTACACACACTTCACTTGACACGTGTGGTCACTACCTTTCCCACTACACACTCCACTCAACACGTGTAGTTACTATGGCTCACGCTGCATGCTCACACTGCATGCTCACACTGCACTCCAGGCCCGTAACGTCCGTGGAGCCTCCAGGCCCACCCCAGCTTGGGTGTGGGTCACATCCTCTGGGTCCCGAGGGCCAGCCCTCACACGGACGTTCGGCCCCGGGTCCCAGGGTCCCGCCTCTGGGTCACACAGAGCCCCGGCCCTTACAAGGACAGCGGGACTAGGTGCCGCAGGGCCCTATCTCTTCCTCCTCCGTCTTCAGTCTTCGCTGGTCACAAAACTCCCCGTGCGCCTGTGCGCACCACCTTATATAGCCCCCGCTCTTGGGAGACGGAGCGTATGCGGACCTCGACGTGAGCATCCCCCTTAGTTGACCAATCCCCGCGCGCTTGTCCCAGGATCCCATCGCTGTCAGCGCGCGTCACCTATACCCAGCCAATCAGTGATCCCATCGCTGTCAGCGCGCGTCACCGATACCCAGCCAATCACTGCCTCATAACCCCCGACCCCGCGCTGACCCCTGATCCTTCACCGTCAGCGCGCGTCACCAACACACACAGCCAATCACTACGCGCTGACACACGATTCCCACCCCAGCGCGTATCACCACTACATAGGCAAGAGAGGGGGGTGGAGCCAGTGAGGAGAGATAGAGAGGGTGGGGGTGTGGGGCAGGGGGAAGGGTGTGCTGAAAGCTCCGGGACGAGCAGGACAAAAAAATGCCTGGGCTGGGAAGTAAGCGGGGCTGGGGGTAGGAGGCTGTAGAAGACTAGAGATGCGGATACGACAGTAATCTATAAAGCAGTTAAGGTTTTACCTGGTTAATAACATCCTTCCAATGATTGTTCAATTTGTATCCATATTCTCGATTAAGTTATGACTATGTTTATATATCTTATTTTATTTTATACCTACGTGACTTTACCGAAGTTGGTATTATTGCCTTCAGTCAGTGGTAAATGGACAAAGGGCCGGTTGAATCCTCATATCTGTGAATAACTTATAATAGGAAGATGTGGTGTGAGGTGCCACAGTGTAGTGTTGTGGCATAGTGTAGTATTGTAGTGTCTGACAGACTACACTAAAGATGTAAGTCTCAGATACGAAACTTCACATAAGGCCGAGATTGGCAGAAAAGTTTAATGAACAAATGCATGTGTGGTAAAATAATTATCAACAAACATATATACAAGAATACGGGCAGTCCCCGGGATGCAGAAGACCCGACTTACAGAAATCCTACCTAACAGAAATGCTCCCATAAAATAATCATGTTAAATAAAATTAATATGAGGAAATGTTTGCCTTAGTTGTGTAAGCGAAAGTAGTGCAGCGCGGTGAGGTTGCAGATGAATAGCGCAAAGCGAGGGGTAGCATTACATAATCCTTTTCCAGAATTTTGCAGAATTACGTAATTTTAGTTGGAAATGCTTATGATTATATTTTTTTCGCCATGTTTCTATTGCTAGTTTCATTCATTTTACGTTTATTTCATGAGTTATTTACTGTATGTACTTTATTTAACACAATCACACTTCGATTGCTTATGGTCTCAGCCAACAGCGATCAGAGAAGTCTAGGCTTAGCCCAATGCACGATAAGCGAACATTCCAAACAATTAACCAGAGACATATAGACAGACATATAAGCAGACAGATAACACAGAGATACATAGAGAGAGAACAAACATAGGCACACAGAGAAACCACGCCTCTGTGTCGAGGCCTTATATAGAGGCCTCGACACAGAGGCGTGGTTTCTGTCTGCTTATATGTCTGTTTATGTCTCTGGTTCTGTGTTTTATCTCTCTCTCAAATTTAGCATTCTCAGGAAGAACGTAATCAACCAGGTAGGGTTGTTGACTATTATGTTATCCGACTCTCTGTTGTATTACATTACATTTCTAAGTATACTAGATTTGTGTTTCTATTTCATTTATACCTGATGATGATTGCTTGTGTTGCAATCGAAACGTCGTATGCTAGTATTGAATTTATTATTTTATCTTTATACGTGACTTTACCGAAAGAACCAAAGAGTAATTTCTGCAGTCACGAAAGCTCCAAATTAGGTTTAATTATGGGTAGTTTTAGAGTAGATATTCGATTGAATTAAAGAATTATAGGAAGTGCAGAGCATATGAACCTTATGGCGGTACCCCGGGGTACCATAGTACCTCCGCTCTCGCATAATGTCCGTGATGCAATCATTTTTAGTCTGTTGATGGTCGGCGATGCGGCAATCGACTCATCTCGATGAGCTGTACACGATGCACGATGGTGCATACGAGGGTTCAGGGTTTCAGCGCAATCATCCTCGCTGCGTTTCGACATCGTGGAGTAGCACTGATTTCGGATTGATTGGTACCCCAGTCGCGGAGTTAAGTACACTCCTTGAAAAAATAGTGTCCCAGAAATAAAATATTTAATTGCCTCGGCCATTTTGTATTATTTGGTACCCCAGGGTACCGCCATAAGGATCATATGTACAGCAATGCGATGCAGATAGCGATAGAAAATGGACGACAGTGTGATACAGTACTGAGAGAAAACTAACTATTTCTGGTAATGGAATGTTATCTTGATTTTGGGAGGAAATTGTTCAGTTTCTGACATACGAAAAATTTGGGTTACGGATTGTTCTCGGGGACCTAACCCTTCCGTAACCCGGGGACTGCCTATATCCCGGTTTACGTAAGGGGTGCGTTCCTGAAAGTTGCGATGACGAATATCAAAACGACGTAAATCTAAGCCAAAGTAGTCTGCACCCGACGAGCGATAAACAGAGATAACGGAGGGTATGGTGACGCTATGCTCATGCACGCATCTTCATCCGAGACGTGCCCACAACATTACATTACATTTACCCCTTTTGGCGTCCTCTGGTCTAACACTGTTAGAGCCAAGGCTCAAAAGAAAGCTGTCTCTGGTGTGGACCAATCAGTTTCAAGGACAATTGTGGTGCCACAGCAATGGAACAACTCCGCCGGCGCTGCTATCCCCTCGCACCCCTCCACACGAACGCACGCGCATCCCCACTAAACACACACATGCACCCACGTAGGGTCTCGTGGGGGGGTCACCTGGTACCATGGGTTTTTACCCGAGGGGCCCCTAGCGAGGATGTCCCACGGTTTCCCAGTGCCAGGAGATTGGCCGACCTCCCCCCAGGCCGAATTACATTGCGCCCCCCGTGAATTAGCTTAGAATTGTATGGGCACGACGAAGCTCACCGGGCAAACCACAATGAAAACACTCACAGCACAGGGAGATGGGGCCTCAGGGACAAACACCCAGCGAGCAACGCATAAGAGGAGGTGGGAGGGAAATTCCTGAGCCGACTGAAGCTAAATCTCCACCAGACGGCCACCCCGACCAGGCCAGGTGTGGCGTAGGTGGGGAGGGCGGGTGCGTAACCAATGGGTGAAGGCACACTGGAGGATATCGATCCAGGTAAGGGCGGGGCATCGGTTGAAAATCGAAAGGTAGGCGCCCGATTGGCCCTGCAGGGGAACACCACATAACCCTGGATTTTTGGATTCGGAGAAGACAAAGGGAGGGAAGGGAAAAACGTTAGTCAGTGCTCCTGCAGCCGTTGAGCCACCCGGTCGGACTCCCAGCCGCTCGCAGCGTCCAAGGGACGCTGGCGAGTGCAGCTACGACTCGACCCCAGGCAGAGACATCTCATACCCTCGTCCCTCCGACTCCCACCACGTCCGTGCGATACTGTGAGTACGTGCGCGAGGTGAGAAGTAGAGCAAGGGTACACCCAGGGATTGAATAAGGATAGGCTAGGAGCTGCTCGCTGAGAATTCTGCTCCGGGCCACGCAGGGTGTTTTCTTTTCTTCAGGCGCGCCATTAATAAACTTTAGCACAGAGGATCCGTGTGGTGTTATTTCTGTGGGTGTGGGGAAAGTGTTGACGTAGTGTGTAATTGAAGCGTGTGTGTGAGGCAGCGCGGTTAGTAATTCATTAACGGCTCCCGTGTCCGTGCAGCCACGTGATTAATAGGGCAAGGGAGGGGTGAGTTAAAACCTGTTCGCGTGTGTGTTTACACAGCACGTTTTACGCAGTTTGTTTACGTAGCGACGATCGCATCAACGGTGGGGCGCACGTAAATTGTCATCAATACAGCCGTCATTTTGCCCACGTGCCTGTGTGCGTGCTTACACTCCAACCGCGGCGGCGCATAGTCATACGGCTATTTTTAGCGCGAGCCGTGGTGAGCAACCTGCACGGGCACGCGCATGCACGCAGCCACCTCCGCGTTAGTGGTGGTGTACGTGGGGAGTGTGTGGGATAACTCCAGGCGGTGGGGAGCCAGCCACTAACCATGTCTCTCAGAGAGGACGCTGGTGCGGGGAGGCCGATCACCCGATCAGCGGCAGCCGTAAACGTTTTTGAGGGTTGCAGCGATTTCAGATCTTGCTACGTCTGCAGCGATGTGACCCAGGCCCTTGAGAGCCACATCTACTTGGGCAATAATATCATTAAGTTCTATTTCTCATGGTCTGAAATCCGTTTTAGCTAAAGGACTAAACTTTTCAGTCACACCTAGACACATATCATGTCGGATCTTAACTGATTGTGTTCACGTTTACGGTGACTTTCAGACCGCAGTCCACTCACTGGCATTGACTATATATTTTTTATTCTCCGTAGGGAATGGATTCTTTGCTCCGCCGCAAGTCTCCTATCACCACTCTCCCATTGACATATTTCGTTGCTTCCTCTTAATACCTTTCACGCGACGGTCAATGGTATAGTGTATAGCAGATTGTATAATAATAAATAGTATAAAAGTGTAATGTTTAATATAATGTATAAGGTAATATATAGTATCGTAATTGTATAGTGAATATACAGCAGTGTGGTATACAGTATGGTGGGTAGAATAATACATAGTGTAATATTACAATGTATAGTCTAAGGTATAGGGGTGGTGTATAGTAATGCAGTATATAATTTAATGTTGGGTTTGTCTATGGCAGTATATAGTACGGGGTAGACCCGTGTGATGTAAGAGAAAAAAGTTTAGCTGGAGGCATATTATCTTTTTTGCGACATAGAATTGTAATGTATGACTTACTGTTAGTAGCTCAGCTTATTGGAGAGTATATTTAGTATATTAATGATACTGATGTAGTTTATATTTTAGTTTAGTTACGTGGTGGTTTAGCTGCTGCAGCTCCTTACTATTAAAATTCCTTCCCTCTATTACTGCTAACCCTACTCCCTCCCTTTGATGCTGCTAATCCTGCATACTGCATAATGCACGGGCATAATATGACTTTGACCCCCCACCTCCTACGCATTCCACAAGTAGTGACTAATCCCATATCTGCATTTCCCATAAATATGCTAAATTCCTCTTGATATGCAAATTCATTTGTCAAGGCGCCCCTTCCCCCCTCCAACCCAGCTTAAATATACGCTGCCAAGCCTGGTGGTGCCCATTCAGACGCTGTCTTTCCGACAGACCTGTTCTTCACCTGAGGACGGTTGCTTGCGTTGTGGCCGAAACGTCGTGAGAATTATTTTATGTTTTATTTTTATTATTTTATAAGAAGATGAATCCCTGCAGTCACGAAAGCTTTAAATCGAAATTTAAACTCTCTCTGCTTAGTTTAATCCTGACAATTCTCAATACTGACAGCACTTGTGTGCATCACTTGATGTGTTTGCGTGCTTCACCAATTCTCCCCCTCGCACCCACGAGCTGGAGGGGCAGGGTTCCCTCCGCCAATCACCGCTGCCTAGGGGCACCACAGTGGCGAAATGTTATCTCCCTCGCCTGGTATGCAGGAGGTCGTGGGTGTCATCACCACCCTGATGCCTGTATATTTTGAGTTTGCATGTTCCACCGTGGTCGTGTGGATTTTTCTCCGGAGTTCTCCAGTTTTGCCCTCTACATTTGTAACATTCGCTTGAGTATTCGGCTGTTATATATATTCTCACGTGTGATAATATGCTACTTTGATTAGTTATCATGTGTGGCCAGGTTGCCTCTTAAAAAAAGCTAATAGCTCAGTGGGGTTTACCTGGTAAATAAAATAGTTGGGTTTAACTTACATTTAGCAGCATTGTGAGCCGGGATCTCGTCCCTAATGGTTCACCTTTGTGGTGGGTGGGAGAAGGTAGTCTTCTGAAAACCCACCTCTTACGTGTTTCGTGTCACCTTAAATAAAACTAACACCATCATATAGGCGAGATAGACATCGTTTAATTGAATCCACAACTAACTATGAAAGTACTCTCAAGACCTAATTTTTACTTTTCCAGAAAACTAAAGGAAAATCAATATTGATGTTGTCGCCTTACAGGAGGTGCACGTAGAGTACAGCACGCAGATGGCAAGTTACAGAATCAATGGTCACTGCCTTTTTGCTGCCATCTACCACCCTAACATGGCCTAGCCACCTTCATCAGACAAGGCCTAAATGACTATTATGCTTTCAAGTCCACCACCACCAACACAATAACTGTCACAGTTGGTCACGTGACGTTCATCAACGTATATAAGCCCCCAAATAAGAAATGGCCATCAACACCACAATTGCAGCAGCCACTCACCTGGCTATAGACTAGGGTGACTTCTATAGCCACCACACAACGAGGTTTCTCAGACAACAAGGAAGCCGGAGAGACGGTTGAGTAATGGTCGTTGGCATAAAGCACATTCCTTGTACATACGACTCAAAACAGCTGGGCACATTTCACTCAAGAAAAAATAAAAAGGACTCTAACCCATCACAAAGACAAGAATGGACAGCTACCACTACTTGCTTCACAAACAATTACACGCAATTTCCCAAAGGGCCAACGCAGACAGATAGTCACACACATTGGATTATTGATACTGTTCATAACTTCAAAACCATGGCTGCGTTGGAACTTTCGGAAGGCCAAATAGCCAGGCTGTGAAACAGAAACCAAAGTATATCTGGAGAAACTGAAACTACAGCCTGAACACTTAAAAAATGCATACAAATTCTGACTTCTGCCACAAAAAAATACATCCAGAGGATAGCTATACACCAAGATAGCAACCAGAAACAGAAGAACTCTTGAAAGAGTTCATCATAACTGGTGACTTAGATAAGGGCACCACATTGCTGGGGTCCCTGAACTCTGCATGAAGAAAATGTTAAAAAGAAGTTGTCACTGCAGACTTGCGCTTCGCTCAATCCAGCCGTAAATCCTAGCAGCTCCTCTGGAACCTAAGTGCCTTAAAACCAACAGAGCAAAAACCACAGCAAATGCTGAGGCTTCCCGCATCCTTTGCTGTTTAAAGACACCATTATTTGACAAGTTCAAGCTCACTAAAGACTGGTGCAGAGACAACTTCCATTAAGTCAACTACCAAAAGCAACAGATCTAACCAGACCATACAATGCTGCTAAAAAGGAAGCAGCCCTCAGGGCCACACAATCCACCAATACATGATGGCCTGCTCCTAAATAACCTGGGACTATATGGACACTGGACAAACCCAAGTGTTATGGCTTGACTGCCTGATAGGACTGGGACTTGCAACACTTGTGCTCCCCACTGTGCCAATTTGCTGTCTTTGCCGCCTGATTAATTGCTCACTGTTATGAGCATTGCTCCTCTGCCCTCCGTTGTTATTGGTGGGTGACTGCCTCTAACTGCCCATAGAGGTTGATTTTAACACCATTGATACCAGTCATTAGTACGTCCAATCAGCTCCACTTCTTGCTGTACCACATCAGTCCATCTCTTCTCTAGCCTGTGCCGTGCCCATTTAGCCACCTCTATCCGGGCCAAACAGAAGCCGTTTGGGTATGGGGTGGCTGACCATGTGGGCTTCATGACCTAGCCAATGCAGCATGTGTAGAAAACTCAAATAAATAAAATAATGCGTGTATCCAGTCACGTGCGTGGAAAACTCGCAACCAAATTTCACTCACATTTGTGGAGGGGGGGGGGGCATGTGCCGAGAAACAACAAATATGACCAATTTCATCGATATTTTTTTTCCTGAATGCTATGATGAAAAAATGGCAATTTTTGCTTCAAGTACTGATGCACCATAATTAATGAATGCACAGTTTTCTGGTAAGTGGGTGTGGGATTGGCCAGGAGGTTCCATTGTGATAAAATGCCATAACGTATGATGAGGGAGAGGATGATTAGGGGTGGTGAAGGAAGGAGTTTGTGGGAGAATAGGAGGAGCAGCAGATGGGGAGGATTCTATGAGAGGGGAGAGAGGATATAAGGGGGGCTGGGAGAAGGCATGGGGTCGTTTTGGTGGTGAAGCTTCCTACGAGTATGTGTGTTGCCTGAAATTGTCTACTTACCATCAGGTCAATGGAGTTGAAACATCTTTGGAACCACTCAGTGTCGCTGAACTGATTTATGAATGTAGGAAGTGAATGGGCAACTTGTGGCCTTGGTGAACTTAGACATTGGGGTATAGGTGGGATAAGTGGTGTGGTAGATGCCACATTCTCCGTGTGACGTGGTATTTGTGGCAATTTCCTTACAGGATTCTTTAGACAATTCAGCTGGACTTTAACATTTGAAGGGCCATCTTCCACCGTGATGGCAGCCTGCAAAGGCAAGATAGATAGGTGAGTGGTAACAATATTGATGTCATTCACTTGTTTGACTGGAGGTGGGCAGTGGACCTCCACATACGCCCACCTTACTGGGCCCCACCCCCAATACTTCGGGCCGTCCGATTGGCCCAGAGCTGAGTGGCGAAACCTTGCTTACGCTCGCATTACATCATCCACCCCCCCGGTGTAAAAGACCAGCCGTCCCGGCTGAATCAGGACCAGACATAATGCGAGCGACAAAGTAACCGCACGAACATGAACAGATGGAACGGAACAGTACAACAACAACAACAACGATCAACGAAAGGGAAGGGATTTGGATCCAGTACGGAACGCCGGCCCGTCCGTCCCATGAGCCGGCGCCCTCGCTGACTGCAATCTGGACGGGGTTGGAAGAGTGGCGGAACCAGAACCGTCCACCGCTGGTGGAGGCCCATTCGATGCCGGAACCTGTGCATCAGGGATCAGAAGAGCAGCGGGATCATCACACTCTGCCCCAGGCGGAGACTCGTCCAGCCCAGAACCCGTGCATCAGGGAGAGCGGGGACCGGAGCTCCTTCCAACTGCAACCTTGGCGGGGTTTGAAGAGCGACGGAATCAAGATCTTCCGTCGCTGGTGGAGGCCCGCCCGGTGCAGAATCCTCCGGTAGGCTCACTGGCGGCGCGCCTACAGGAGGCATGACAGGCGCACTCGAAGGTTGAACAAGCAAGGGTGGTGGCGCATCGGACACATCAGACACCGGCAAGGCAACTTTAGGAGATGACGCATTGACTCGAGGGGCAACGTAGGGCTTCAATCGGGACGTGTGGACATACCAACGGCGCGACCCCACCCAGACACGTGCGGACTGGGGACAAGGAACCTCAACCAATACCACCGGGCCTTGCCAGGGCTTGTGTAATTTAGGGGAGGTCCCCACTGGCACCTGTGGGCAGTGGAGCCAGGCCAGGTCCTCCACATGCCACGGCGACGTGCGATGGGAGCGCCGGGCACACCGTTCATTCCGGGCCTGGGTCTTTGCCGTAGCCAATCGGGCCGCTTCTCGCGCTTCCGTAACGCGACAAACGGAGTCGCGAATATAGTCGGGAAGGGTCTTCGCAGGACCCTTCGCACGCGTGTCGAACCGTACGTCAATAGGCGGCACATTCTCGCGGCCGTACATTAAAAAGAAGGGCGAATACCCCGTGGACGCATGCGGCGCCATCCGGTAAGCAGAGAGCACTCCGGGAATATGCAAATCCCAATCGGCCTGCTTCTCGCTAACCATATGGCAAAGCATGGCCGACAGGGTTCAGTTCAACCGCTCAACCATCCCATCCATCTGTGGATGGTACAGCGAAGTCCGGACCTTTTTGGTGCCCAAAGCGTCGCACACGTCCCGCAACAGTTTTGATGAAAAGTTGCGCCCCTGATCTGTGAGCAATCATTCTGGCGCCCCCTTGTCCATCACGTATCTGTATAAAAATGCATCCATGATGGACGCCGCCGTCTGGTCGGGCAAGGGCCAAGCGATTGCCCACCCCGAAAAATATTCCACCCCGACCAACAAAAACTTGTTCCCCCGAGCGGATGGAGAAAATGGCCCCAGAATATCCAATGCCACCAACTCGTTAACCCGCGTCACTTTGATCGATTGCAACGGAGGAACATAAGGCTGTTTAGGCGGTTTCCGACGAGCACATTCGGAGCACAATCGAATGTGTTCGACGGCGTCAGTCGTCATTCAGTGCCAAAAACAATCGCGTTGCAACGTCAACAAGGTCTTCTGCACACCAAGATGCAACAACTGTTCAGCGTGCAGGACCCGAACCAATTCATACCGCAGCAGCAACGGAACGACCAAGCGCCAACGGCCTCGCAAATCCTCCCTCCACACCAGCAATCCATCCCGGAGAGCCACCCCAGGCACCCCATCCGACAACGGCCACCCCTTAGACTTGCCCGCCTGACCCCACAAAGCTGCAAGCGAATCGTCCAACAATTGTTCACGGACCCAAATGGAACGCGGCAAGTTCAAAACCCATTCAGCCAGCTCAGGACAGGTCGAGTCCGCGGACTTATCCACCGCGGACATGACAGGCCGAAGCGGCTGAGGGGGCCGTGATTTGTGCCCGAGGCACATGCGCAGGCGGAACCATGCGGCAGCCGAGAGAGCGCGTCCGCGTTACCGTGACGAGAACCCTTACGGTACTGAACATCAAACAAGAACTCCTGTAAAGTCTCCAACCATCGCAACAGCTGTCCCGAGGGCTGGTCGACTTTCAAAGAGTATTGCAAGCCCGCGTGGTCCGTGCGCACCATGAACCTCCTGCCGTATAGGTAAGGCCGATATTGGCAAACAAAATGAACGACAGCCAACAATTCCCGACGGGTGACGCAATAGCGGGTCTCCGCCGGAGAGAGAACGCGGCTCCCGTAAGCCACAACGCGTGCGACGCCGCCCTTACACTGAGATAGGACAGCACCAATGCCCATATCACTGGAGTCCGTATCCAAAATAAAAGGCAACGAAAAATCAAGGTAATCCAGCATTGGTGTGGACGCCAATCGATGGCGTAGGCCGCGAAACGCCTTCTCCTCCTCCGGCCCCCATTTGAACCTCTGATTTTTTGCCATGAGGAGGTGCAGCGGCCAAGCGATCGAAGTAAAATTTGGCACAAATCTACGGTAATAGGATGCGAACCCAACGAATAGGCGTACGTCCCCCACCGAGGTAGGAGTATAGCCCAATCCCGAACGCACGCCGTTTTGTCCGGGTCTGTGGCCACTCCGTCCGGGCTGACAATGTGACCCAAATAGCGCACGAAGTGTTGCAAGAGGTAGCACTTTTGGGCTTAAGTTTCAAATTAGCGGAACGCATCCGAGCAAAAACGGCCTCCAATCGCTGAAGGTGTTCTTCGAACGTATGGCTGAACACAATGACGTCGTCCAAATATATCAGGCAGGTGTCCCACTGGAGCCCGGTCAACACCAGTTCCATCAACTGTTGGAACGTAGCGGGAGCGGCGTTCAATCCCATGGGGAGACAATTAAACTGAAAGAGCCCCTGCGGCGTACGGAACGCCGTCTTTTCCCTCGATGACTCGTCAAGGGGGAGCTGCCAGAACCCAGAAGAAAGATCGAGGGTCGAAAAAAATCTCGCCCCAGACAAGGCATCGAGGGATCCTCCATACGTGGCAGGGGGTATGCGTCCGCCACAGATACCTTATTCAGTCTCCAGAAATCAACACAAAACCGAAGGGTACCATCCTTTTTCACCAGAGCAACCGGAGCACCCCATGGGCTATTGGACGGAGAGATTATGTCGGCGGCCAGCATGTCGTCCACCGCACCACGAACATGATCCCTCTCCGAGGGGCTCAACCGGTGCGGAATCATACGTATGGGGGTAGCTTCCCCAGTATCAATGTGATGGGAAAGCAGCGAAGTGCGCCCCAGGTCGAAATCATTTTTGATAAACACATCAGAGTATTTTGACAACAGCGTACAGAGCGCGGACTTCTGGTGTGTAGTCAGGGACGTGTTCTCCTGACACAACGTGGCAATCCATCGATCGTTCGATGATCCTGAAGCTGTAACCCCCGCCGCAAGACCCTGACGACCAGCCTCAGCATGGGCCGTGACCGTGGGAGTAGCATGGGCCAAAACCGTGCCGGCCGCCACCATGACAGTTTCTGCACCCCCGTTCAAAACTTGTAAAAACAGGGGGTTGACCCGGCCGAACAATCGTCTGAGCTGCGACCAGTGCTAGGCCGCCGGTCACAGTATTGGATGGCGACAGCAGCACGCCCACCACCCCGTCAACACCAGGCATGGGCTTATGATAGCGCAGGGGAACGAGCATTTGCGATCCTGGAGGAATTTAAACAGAGACGTCAGCCAGCGCCTGCAATGGAATGACCGGTTCTGAACGGGCCCATGGTGACGGCAAAAAGGCCACCCTACGTCCTGCCGGCAACTCAATGCAACCCTGACCCACCAGAATTTTTATCGGCATTTTAGCAAGGAAATCGGTACCCAGCAGGCAAGGTACAGCGAGGGACCTGGAAATCAACACCATCCCCGAAGTTGATACGTCCCCAATGGAAATGTGCACGTCAACCTGACCCACAATGCCCATACTACCCCCGTTAGCAGCAATACATACATCAAACGCCGGACGTACCCACGACGCAGGAATGGACAGAAGATGGAAAATGACATCAGAGTTGATAGTGGCCGACGCGCCCGAATCTATCAAAATCCGCACGTCCACCCCTTGAATAGAGCCCGGCACGGTAGAGGACCCCGTCGCAGCCGCGACCACTCGATGAGCCAATTTCCGCCACTGCGTTACCGTACGAGGCGACCCGACGACGAACCCCCCAGCAGTACGGGCCCCAAAATCACACAAAGGCAACGATGAATGAAGTGACAGGCCTTGCCGGGTGTCCGATGCATACTGACTTGCCTGACAAGGGTAACCCCCCGAAGTCGATGGCGTGTCCTCCGACGGAAACTCCGGACGAGGAGGTGGATGAGGTCGACCTCGACAGTCGCGCGCAAAGTGGCTGAGACGGCCGCATCGATAGCACGCCATGTCGGCCCGCCGGCTGGCCCCCCCGACGTGCCAGCGAGGCGCCGATGAGGGCGCCGAGCGTGTCATCGCTCCCCTCCGTGGAACCCAATGGTCGCCAGGCCCCACGTCGTACGGGGTGAGGACAACCCGCGACGGTGCCTATCCTATGGGTTCCCCATCAATGGCCGGATCGCCCGTCCAGGCGGCCATCTGCGCCCAGCGGCGCAAGTTGAATTGTGCGTCGAGGCACTTGGCCGCCAACCGGGAGGTTAGCGGCTCGTGGCCACACATGGGCATAGGGATGGCCAGGTCTTTGGACAGCTCCAACATCTTGCCGAGTATCAATGGCTCGAGCAAATCGGGCTTAGTGTCCGGGTATGCGGCCATGGCCAGCCCCGGATGCAGCTGCACCACGCGGCGGGGACAAAATGGCGGCCTCCCCCAATTCCTTCGCGGCCGCGCCCAAGATGGCGGTGCCCTGCCACATGTCAGCGATGGTGGGAAGCCTCGCAGAGGCCACAATGGCAGAAGGCTCGGGCCCTCCCGAAGACTCCCCATCCCGCGGCCCGACGCGTGGTTGTTTCGGCCCCGTAGCGACCAGGGTCACCAAGTTCAGCAAAACAGACCGCAGCAAGTCAATCTGCTCCGCCACGCGCCGCCAGCCTTCCTCGGCGTCCGAAGACGGAAACGGCCCAGCTCCATCGATGACATCTTGCACCCCAGCAGAGTCGCCCGTCACCATCTCGTCCGTGCCTTCCGCGCCCGAGACCGCCATATCATGAGGAAGATCGTCGTCGTCATCAGAAGAAGGTGTGGGTTGATTCTTCTTTTTGAGATGCTTAGACATCTCGAAACCGCTTCTGACTCCAATGTAATAAAGCACTCTGACGACACACAGCTTGGTCTCCACCTCTGTCTTTATTCTTGTTATGCCGCTCACACTCCACCGGTCCCGACCGTGGACCGGCTGTTCTACTGGCGCGCCCCGCGCACTCTTTCTGTCAGTTGCACTCCCGCACACCTGTTGGCTGACGGTGTGCTTGGAGCCGTCTCCAGCCACGTGGCCGATGGTGCTGGAGACCTTCCACGGCTCAACGTGGTCCCATTTCGAGTCTATGCCAACTGCCCCGAGCCTCTTCCGGATCCCCCTTATATTCCCCTCTCTCGTCATCCCATCTCCACCTTCCACCACGCCCTTTCCGAACCTTCCAGATCACGCCCTTCACTTAGCGCCCCCCCCCCCCGGCTCCGCCCCTAGGCTCCGCCCCTGATCATCCGGGCATCCGATTGGACCGGAGGTGGGCAGCGGACCTCCCCATATGCCCACCTTACTGGGCCCTGCCCCCAATACTCTGGGCCGTCCGATTGGCCCAGAGGTGAGCGGCGAAACCACGCTTACACTCGCATTACACATACATGCTTTGGAGGGCCATTAACTAAAAACTAAAACAAAAATATTTTTTATTTTACCAGGTAAGATTCACTGAGCTATGTAGCCATGAATGATAGCTCAACGAAGTGGCTTATCACGTGGAAATTTATAGCAACCAAATACTCGAAACGAATGTTGATTCTAAATATGTAGGGGATAACAGGAGGACCCAGATAAAAATCCACGCGACCAAGGGGAGAACATGCATACTCCAAATATACAAACGTCAGAATCGGGATTGAACCCACGACCCTCCTGCATACAAGGTTAGGGAGTTAACATCTCACCACCGCGGCACCCCAACTTTAACAAGAGCGGGCAAGCAGATTGACACAAGACGAGCATTCTGCACTGACACAATTGCAGGCCAATTCAATATACAATTAATTCCACGTGGGTAGTGGTGTATGGCTTTTACATTGTCAAATCAAGACAGCACGTGAATGATCTAGTGGAGGAAAAGCAAGGCTAATTTGAAGCAAACCGCATGTAGGTACATTTGAGGAAATGCACAGAAGGACAGCCCAAAAGTACAGACGACCTTACCAAGCGATCGTGCCGAAATCAGGAGGAAGCGTGGGCAACTAAGTCAAAAAGGAAGCACGTTACAAACGAGCATGCTAAGATTACAATCACCCCTACAGGATGAAATCAAACACATGCACAGGTAAAGTGAACAGGCTACCATTCAGATTAGGCACACACAAGCTGCCTGAGGACAATCCAAGGGTGTCGTGGCAGCACAAGTAAATGCATGCGAGGGCACGGCTGCAGGGAGAGCACGAAAGTTACGTGCAGAGTGATGTTGGGCATGCGAGGCCCCATGTGATAGAACCTCAGCAGGGGCAAGAAAGTGTTTTGTGCAGTGACGAGAGATTAGCAAGGTCCTTGGCCAACATATCAAAGAGCAGTGTGATCCCAGGTGAAGTGGCACAGCCAACCAGGTAAGCATGTAGAATTTATACAATATGTTTGACATTGGCAGTACAGTATGATATCAGTCAGTTGGTATTCTTATCCCTAGATATCGTGTTCATGGAAATTGGTTCTCAAAAGCGATGGGGAAAATCAGAGCCAAGCTGGAATACAGCCAGGCAGTAAGCCAGCACCAACATTTAGCCAAGCTCTGCGGTTCCATATATATTAAGATGTGTTCAGACAATGAATGAGTGTTTAGACATGAATGATAAGTAATCTATGAGAGTTGATATTTTGTTAATGGGAATTGTATTAATTTTTCAAACAATAAATGGAAATGCTTTCAACAATGTTGTTTGTATATTTTAGGATAATCATTTGAATAAAATAATTTCCATTTATAGGGATCTTAACTGCCTCAGCAACTGCATTATATCACAATCAGTTAATCCTAATGTCCCAATTTGCTTAAATTTTGTATTGTAATTCATGTTATGTTCATATATTCCATGTTGAGCTGTTTTAGACTTAAATACTGATTCCTTGTATGTGTTTTTCATTTTGTTTAATTAACGCACCTTAGACCTGTTTACTGTCATGATGTTTACGGTTCACGATATACAATTCTTATTTTTGAACTGTCACAGTCAAGCCTTTCACTCTTCCGATGTTAGCATCTGCTTGTCGTACAGATGTTTGTAATGATGTGGAATTAAGCGCTTAATTTTTTTAACTCCAGCCTTTGCTATTATGATATATTTATTTTATCTTTGCCTCCGTTTAAAAAGATGCCTCTGGTCTCAACGGGCAACTTACCTTTTTTTGAACATTGGACTCACCTCATTGGGTTCCAACTGTACGTCAGTGATAAACACCGGTTCTTTGATTTTCACTTTGGCAATCTTGTCTATAATGTTGGCAGTCAACACACTTGCTTCCTCTTCCCTGTCATTCGTATCGTTTCTCACACTTGGGCTCCCATATCGATCAATGAAGGTTTCAGACTCCTCCAACATGTGAGGAAAAAACAAATAACAGACGAGACACCTTCAGGCATTTGCGTAAAATTTGGCAGATAAATATTTCAAAAATATTTGGGGGTGCTGAATCAAGGTCTGCTGTCTGCCAAGCTGTAACTATTAAGTTTAACGTTTAAAAACCAGATCACCAACAAAGCCACCAGAAAACAGGATGAGAGCTCATTATGTATACTGTTAAGGTAAAACGTTTTCAAGCACTATTTTCCCCATGCTTTTGGGGTGTTGAATCCAAATGTCGTGCCGATTATATCTGAAGGCAAAGTTTTGACCTTCAAACTGAACTCAAACAAAATTGCCACCAACAAAGAGAAGCATCTGAATTACCCCAAGACGATGACGCTTTGTAATTTGTTAATCGCTACTTTAATAAGGATGCAGTTATACAGTGTCATCTAGAACGTTATGTTTTCAAGCTGAATGAACTACAAGGCCACAATATAATTCAAAATAGTAATTATTCAAGGACATTTAGTCATCTATAGATTAATGTTCAAACATGGTTCAAAGTAATATTTGTTTTGACACTTTCTCTTTTGCATTACTTTTATCTGAGTTCGTCAAAATAGAAAAATAATACTTTTGTTAATAAATTTCAAGACTATGTATATACTAGATATACATAACTTTGGTATAGAGCTTTGATCAGTATCAGAATGACTGTGATATACATGCATCCCGAAAGTCTTGTGAAACAAAAAGACTAGATTTATGTTACATTTTGGAAAGTTAAAAGTTAGCTACAAAGCATTAACAAATGGAATAAGTGACAAAGATGTCTCTAGTTACAGTATATAGTAAATCATCAACCTACAATGAGAACACGTGTAAACAGACTTTCTCATAAAAAGGAAAACCCAACTGTTCCCTTCAACACTACATTGTCACTAAATGGAAACAATTTAGGTACACAAGTCAACTAGAGGTAACAAAACTATGAGACCATTGAAGACATGTGTAGTGGTGTTAACTACTCGCTGTTCGCAAACTGTGAGAGAGTGGATCGTAAACAAGGGTTTCCCGCTCAATCAAACGGTCAGGGTCAAATGGGGTGAGGTAGGGTCCCACAAGGTGGCCGGGGATTGGACAATCCGGCCACGAACAGGTATAAAAGCCAGAGCGCTGAGAGCTCTTGGCCAGTTCTGCTACACGAAGACCCAAGTCGGCCGAAGACATCTAGGACCCTGGACCAAGCCCTCCAGCCCTTATCAGGGCTAGGGCTCAGTGTAACCAGTGGTCGGGGAGAGATCCCCTAGGTCCAGCCAGAGGACGCTGGGATAGCAGGGAGATTAGATAGTCTGCAAGGTCCGGAGGCTGTACCTTCTCAGGGTAACGGGTGAGGGGACCATATACCCCTTTGTGTGATAGGGACTGTGTATTAAGATAATAAACAGTGTGTGCCATAAAGAAGTTTAGAAGTCCATCCTTTACAACACTACAACTGGCGTCAGAAGATGGAAACAAGACGAACGAACCGCACGCAAAGTCCGGACGACGCAAGCTCCAACTCACCTGTGGGTGCTGAGGGCGGCGCTGAAGACGCCGGTGTGCCGACAGCCGTCCCACCACCAGCGGTGCAGCCGATCGCCGCGAGCGGCGGCATCCAGGCTGCTCACGCTCGTCTCGCCCAGCTGCTGCATGCTGCAGCAGCCATCCTGGAAGGAATTACCTTGGGGACTGCGGGCAGAGCGGAGTGGCCGACGGCGGACATTCCCGCCATCACAAACCCGGAAGAGGTCGATTTTCCCGCCGATGGGTCACGTAGTTCCGCCGGAAGCGGAAGCCACGTGCATGCTGGGAACTCCGGCGGCCAATCACGGCACACCGCGTCATCAGAGCGCAAAGCTGCCTCTGCGAGCCGCTCCAGCAACGCCACGTCATCACGGCTGCGACGCCATACAGTAAATGTCGTGGATCAAGCGATCGCCGCGTTCGGGACCGAGTCAGACCTAGACGAAGAGGACGACACGGCTGCTCTACAGCAACGTCTGCCAGTCTTCCGGGAATTCTCGTCCACAGGGGGCGACTGGGCGGCGTTTGAGCGTCGCTTCCTCAGCCACCAGGAGATGGTGGGCTGGTCAGATGCACAGGCGCTACGTGCACTACCAGCCACCTTGGACGACGACTCTCTCGCTGCACTTATCTCCATTCCCAAGCGACAAAGAGCGACACTACAAGCGGCACTTCGGCGGCTGTCCGATGTCTACAGACCTCCTTCCGCCACACGCCACCAGTTTTACGAGATATGGTGCAAGCCAAGAGAATCGCCATTGGCGTTCCGCACCGCGCTACTCGCCATGGCAAGAGCGGCTTACCCCCGCATGGACGATGAAGCCATAGACGATCTCGTCCTACAGAAGCTGGTGGAGATGGCGCGGGGACTGCGTCTTGTCATCCAAGCCGTGGATGATGAAGACATGTGCTCATTGCGAACTGCCTGGAGCATCCATGCTCACTTGATGCTCGACCAGGATGAGCCCATCACCGCATCGGCTACGACATCAGGGCCTGCCAGCAGGGACGACGATCGCTCTCCAGATCGGGTCTTCTCAACGTCCAGGGCGACAGGCCGGCGATCACCGGATCGCACCAGACGCCGCGACGACCAGGACCGGGGACGGGCCTTCCCCCGCAGCGACGTGACGTGCTTCAACTGTGGCCGGCGAGGCCATGTCTCTTCCGACTGCCGTACACCTCGTCGGCGCTTCTCCGGATCCCAAGACCGGGACCACAGGGCACCCAGTGCACAGCGGCATAAACAGGCGAGTCGCGGCACCCCTCACTCACACCTTACACACCACAACGCACCGTTGACTTCACTCGGGATTCAGCGTATGACGCACGGTGTGCGGGCGACTCTTCACGGCCACTCCGACCTGGGCAGTGGTCAGAGCTGGCCCATAGAATGGTCGCAGCGACAGCGGGTTCCTCGGTGGTTGTTGGCTCAATCAAGGGTGTAGAGTTTCGTGTGCTCGTCAATACCGGTGCATCTGCCACTAGCATTTCCGATTTGATTTATAACATACTGCCGGTGCGATGTCGACCACTGCAAAAGGTCTCTGTTCGGGCGCAAATTGCAATTGGTGATATTAAATTGGCCGGTCCTGTTTTGGTCTCTTCTGCCCTCGTGGTGCCGTGCCTCCTGGGAATTGATTTTCTTGCCAAAATGCCCATTAAAATCCTCATCGACCAGGGATGTATTGAACTCCCGTCGGGCCGCCGGATGGCATTTTTACCCGCAGCCACGCATTCACGGATGGCAAATGCCTTCATGCAGGCTTTTACGGCTTGCGCTGTACGCATTCCACCAGGGGCACAAATGCTTGTACCCTTGCGGTAAAAGAAACCGCTCGCTCCCACCGCCTCGGTAAATGGCATTCTGTTGGGGCCCTCCAACACAGCAGTTAAGAGCCTATCATTGGTGGCTGCACAGACTCTCGTAGCGGGCGACAGGGAGGCATTTTTACAAGTTTTAAATGTTGGTCTGTTCGAAACCGTCATTCCACAGGGGACAGTGCTCGCTCATGTGACAGTGGTGCCTCTGGGGACCGAGGTTGTTGGACATGTATCTGACAGTCGGCAGCCTCGCCCTCCTCCTAAGTTAGACGAGGGATGGATTGACGCCCTCTGCGCGGATGCCGGCGATTTATCCGGGTCACAGCAGATTAAATTGCGGGCTCTTTTGCGTGAATTCTCGGATGTGTTCAGCAAATCACAATTTGATATTGGCTGCACCAAGCTGCTGCGTCACCACATTGATACTGGTGACGCTGCCCCTATCCGCCAAAACCCGTTTCGGCTCAGCCCGGCGGAGAAACAGCATGTCAAATGGGCAGTTGACGACATGCTGGCAGCTGATATAATTTCTCCATCAACCAGCCCCTGGGGTGCTCCGATAGTGCTGGTCAAAAAGCACGATGGCAGTCTTCGATTCTGTGTCGATTTTCGGTGCCTAAATAAAATTTTCGTGGCTGACGCCTATCCTCTTCCACGTATGGATGAGTCATTGGATGCTCTGGCAGGGGCGCGTTATTTTTCCACTTTAGACCTTCTGTCGGGGTTTTGGCAACTTCCCCTCGATGAAGCATCAAAACAAAAGACTACTTTTCGGACACCACAGGGCCTTTTCGAGTTTAATAGGTTGCCCATGGGTCTCCACTCGGCCCCAGCGATGTTCAAGAGGCTCATGGAGCTGGTCTTCGCTGGGCTCCAGTGGGAAATGCCACCTTCTGCGTGAGTTTGTGCGCTATCTGGGCCACATAGTCAGCCGCTCAGGAATTTCCACCGACCCTGAAAAGACAAAATGTGTCAGCCAATGGCCTACCCCCACCTCTGCGGGGGACGTTCGCAGCTTTATCGGCTTCGCGTCGTATTACCGACGTTTTGTGGCGGGTTTCGCAACAATCGCCAAGCCACTGCATGCTCTTACGGCAAAAGAGGTGCAATTTCATTGGGGAGACGCTAAACAGGCCGCATTTGACTCCTTGCGGAATGCTCTCGTGGCGGCGCCGCCCCTAGCTTACCCCGATTTTGCGAAACCATTTATTCTGGACACCGATGCCAGCAACACCGGAATCGGCGGGGTACTATCCCAAACAATAAATGGCGTTGAGAGGGTCGTTGCCTATGGAAGCAGGGTCTTGTCCCCTGCAGAGCAACGTTATTGCGTGACCCGACGCCAGCTGCTGGCCATTGTTTATTTCATACAGCAATACAGGCCATACCTGTACGGTCAACGGTTTACTGTTCGCTCCGATCACGCTGCGTTGCAATATGCTTTGCGCGTTGACCAACCGTCTGGCCAGCTCTCCCGATGGCTTGAAGTCCTCCAGGATTACAATTTTATAATGATTTACCGCAAGGGTACACAGCACAATAATGCCGATGCGCTATCTCATTCCGCCAGAAAAAAAATGCGCGTGATTTGCGGGTTCTCGCCGCTGCAAGCCGCCAATGGTACAACCGGTTGC